CCTTCTCTGCCAGTGTCCTGTGAGCTTGACCTGCATTCCTTGCTTTTCTCCTGGGCTGCCTGTGAACACTGACACTGATCTGCAGCTCCCCCTGCTAGTCCAGCCCTGGACTCCTGTATGGCTCCCCCAACATGCCTCCATCTCTGAATCTGCCTGACTATTCCCATGCTGTCCCGGGTCCCGCCACGCCACACCCCTGGCTCTTTCAGTCCTTGACTCCTCACACAGATCAGGCAAAACACCCCCTCCTGTCCCAGTCCTGGCCCTTGCTTGAGCAGTGGCTGCCGGTCACCTGAAACTGTGTGATGCTTTTGTGACACAGACAAAGTGTCCAGTAGAAGGTCATTTTTTCCCACCATGGTGGATCTGAATTCAGCTCTCTGGAGTGTGTGGCATCACTTCTTAGCTTAATTTTTCCTCCCCCGTGACACTTCCCTAATGTTTGCATCTCTGAAGTCAGAGTCCTTCTCAGGGCCAAATGCTACTCCCAGTTACACTGGTGCAACCCCGCTGAAACCAGCTGTGTTGAATCGGTGTGACTGAGAGCAGAATTTCTTCTCCCGCATGAAATTTTTGGGTCACGCAACCTGATGTGGCAGTACTGTAATAAATGCAGCACACCCTCACTGTAAACCCTTTGATTTCCAGGGTGCAACTATTATTGGTTCAGAGGCTGTCTTTCCAACACACCATTTTATTAGCAGATCAGCACATGGAAGAGGTGGGGTTTTACTCCCACCCGCCCCCGATCAGCTCCCAGATTGCTAATGTTCCATTGCCTGGCCTGTTGCTAATTTTGACGGTGCCCTAAATAGAAGATGAGTGTATCTCGGCTGGTTTGCCTAGCTTAAGAGAAAATTATTTTCCTCCATTTACTGAGCCAAAACCATTGCGTTAACCCCCTCATCACAACTCTCTCCTGGGGATTTTCCATCTCCTTTGAAAACAACCGAGCTGCCCTTTGTTAGAAGTTGTCTTCACCTGTTTAGAAGGTCTCGCTGCTTGGATAGAACGAGGAGGGGCCCATAAGAGAAACCTCACGTGGCTTCTCCTGCTCCAGACTCGGTTCCATAAAGGACAACCCGTAGCTTTGCTGACAAGCTTGAGAGGATCCCAGAGTCAGCAAAGGACCCAAACTCTGACTACTCCTCTTGCTTTGCTGGCTTTACTCCAGCGCCCTATGCGTCTGGGGCTGGAGTTCCAGGTTTTCCTTGCCACCAGCAGGCACCTGTTGCTTGAGATCTTGAATGAGTTAAGGCTTTTCTCTGATGCCCTCTCTGTGTCCAGCACCCAGGGCTAAAAGGGCTGGACTTAGGGGCTGAGTGCATCCACCCGAGCACTCCATCTGGCTTTGACTCTGCTACACCGTGCCCTGTTCCCTGACTGGGAAGGGGCTGCAGTCACTCCAGAAGCAGAGTGCTCAGCCAGCGGGCTGAGGAGTGTGAGCTAAGCCTTGCATCACCCAGGCGTTCCCCTCCACTGGCCAAGTTAGGAGCCCTGCGGTGGTATCTCCCCCAATGGGAATCCCTGTCCGGACCTCTGCCAAAAGCTGGTGTGTGATGGGGAGAGTTGTGGGGGTTGAGGTAGCAAATTAGCGCGGATGCACAAGGCCACAAAAGCCAAAACCAGGAAGGAAAGGAAGGGTCGTTGTTGCTGTTAGTTTTTTACATTAAGACGTGAGTGCCTCTAAGTGCTTCTATCCCAGGATGCATTGGAGCTTTACTTCATTTTGTACCTTCAGTGTCCACGAGAGAAGCAGATTCCGGTGATCAGAGCAGGTGACTAGGAGCCAGGACACCTGGGTTCTACCCTTGGCTCTGCCGGTGACCCGCTGTGTGACCTGGGCCAAGTCACCTGACCCCTCTGCTCTGCAGCCTGTAAGATAGGGCTCAGCCCTCCCCTGCCTCTCGGGGATGATGGGAGGAGAAAGGAGCTGCCTCTGGCATCAGTCGGCGCTTTGGAAAACGTAGAATGCGAAGGGTTAAAATCGGCAAAGGCTGGTGAGCTCTTCCAACGGCTGTCTGAAGGCGCTGCCGGTGCATTAAAGAATAAATCTCCAGACAGGCATTGCATTGTGGAAGCGGTAGCATGACTGGCCTCCCTGGTGTCCCACACATCTCTTGAGCCCGAAGGCTGAATGCTCCACACGCCACCAGCGCGGCCAGCCCGTTTGTTAGTAGGTATTTCCAATAGCTCCTGCTGTGCACTTGTGCTTTCCAGGCACTCGTGGAGAGCAGTCCTGCTCGCAGTTTAAGGACAAGACCGGCACACGGACAAGTGGTCCAGGGGAGGGGAACAGGGTGGGTGATCTGTATACAAGCCAGCTCAATGTAGAGAAGCAGCACAGCAGAGGGGCTGGCAGACGGACTTAGGTACGGACGGGGGGTGTGGCCATGTAGCGAGCGCAGCGTGAGCTGGCCCCGCTCACGAAACGTGCCTTCCCTGCTTCATCCAGTTTGGAACCAGACCGGTTTGATTGTGATCAGTGAACGTTGTGCTGGTGAATGGCTCGAGATTCGCTAACTCTCCATCTCTCCAGGGCAGGCACCCGCAATTCCCCACCGACTGGCCTGGAGGGACCCGCCTGTAGTGGGTGAGAGAAGGGGGTTCGATCTGTGGGCCCCATTCATGCATCACCTCTCTGCTGAGGCAAGCGCCTGACTGGAGGGATGGCTGTGCGGAAAAGGCCTTGGCACACAGGCTGTCTGGGGTCAGTCCCCTCTCTGCTACAGCCCCCCTGTTTGGCAGAGCACTTCACCTCCAGCCCTGTAATAATCCTTCTTGTCTCCCGCCCTTTGCCTGACTTGTCCATTAAGATCATAAACACCTCAGGGCAGGGACTCTCTCTTGCCAGGTGTCTGTACGGCGCCTAGCACAATGGAGACCTGATCCTGCTTGGGGCACATAGGTCCAGATCTTCCGAGGTATTTAGGCGCCTGACTCTCATTGGTTTCAGGGTCCCATTGGTTTCAATGGGAGTTACGTGCCTAAATACCTTTGAAGAGCTGGGTCTTCATAATACTAATCAAAATAATTGCTCTTGGTTTTGGTGCTGTCATTCCATCCAGGCCACCAGCTCATGTCAGTGGGCCACTGAGTGGGTATCAGAGGTTCATCAATGTCCACTGATTTTATCCGTTGCTCTTGGTAGCATCTGACCAGTCTGTGTGACCGTACGAGATCCCAGTCGGAGCCCTCCTGAGCCTGGCAGATGCCTCTCTTCTCATTTGCTAATTTTACATCCAATTCTGAGTAATGCTTCAGAGAAATCTGCTGCTCATGATGATTTTGGCTGAGCCAAAGAGGGGACTCTGTGTTTACTCCGTTAGCGAAGCGTGCCTCGTAATGGCATACAAAACACATCTGTCTGAAGTGGAATTGGTCACACCACAGGGCTTGTGCATGGAGGCTTTGGAAGCAAATCCATTCCAGAGCACAGCTTAAATATATCGCTGTCTGGTGAAAGGTGATCATTTGGGGCTCTTGGGCGGGAATTGTTTTCCTGAAGAGCTATAATCGAGTGGCATTTGCAGCTCACTGATTGTTATAACCAGCGGTCTCCTGTGGATAGCAGAAAGGAAGGAAGAACTCTGGGAAGCTCAGGTTGTGGAGGCCTTTATGGGAGTCTAAATTTAGCTGGCTTGAGAGGAATACTTGCTGTCTGTGCATACAGGGTTATAACCTTGCAAAGGGAGAGGATGGGGATGGGGACAACACATCAGAAGGGGAGTTCTATGTGATACCCTGTGGTCCATCTCATTCACTGGCTTCCTATCCCTCTGGCTTCAAGCCCGGGACTGGGCTCCCAGGTTACTAAACTCTCCCCAGGCTGACTCCGCTCCTGACCGGATCGCTTCTCTTTCCCTTAGCTGCCCCAACACTGCTCAGTAACTAATTCCCTCTCCCATGCAGGGCTAGGGAAACCCCTCCCTCTCTCAAAACCTCTCCTTTAGAACCAGTCTTTTCTCCCTGCAAGAGAACAATCCCCGCGTGCCAGGAGAGAGCTCGCCCATGTGTTCACGATGCTCTGCAGCAATGAAGGCTGTTGGACAGTGAAGCTAATTTCCCCATTGCTAGGAGCCCTAAGGAAGTCTAGAAACATGGCCCCAGCCAAAAGCGGCTTGGAAAGCATCCAGAGTTTCCCAGGGTTGGCTGGAACGTGATTGGATTATTTAACAGAAGGGCTTGCCACAAATGTTCCTCTGGTGGAACGGAAAGGAAGGGTGACAGCTGCTCACCTTGTGCCTTTGCGAATGCTCCCTGGTAATAGCCCCTGAAGGAGAGCTCTTGCAAAGGAAGGTAACTCTGCCTTGCTGGGGGGGTGTGTGGGAGGGGTTGATCTTTCTTTCTGGTGGAGGCTAGTTTTACCTGCCCCTATTGGAAAGGCAAGGAGAAGAACAGTGAGAAGCTATTTCGGAGATGGGAGTGGATGGGGACACAATGCAGCTGTATGCCTGGGGGGGACACCTGCACTGGAAACGAGCCACTTCACTAGGAGATGAGCTGAGTGAAAGGGAATTTGTTGGCCCCTGGACTCCCGGAGGCACATTCGCTGTCCTGCTCTGCTCCCTTTGCATGGCTCAGGGGGGAACCCGCCACGCGTCCCAGCTGGGGTGGCTAAGGGTGGTGTGTGTGCGCGTGGAGAGAGGCTGCAGCAGGGACAGAGGCAGTTTCTATGCCTTACCCTCCTAGCCCTGGCCAAGGAGGGAATTGGGGGACGGAATGGGGTGCGGACAGTCCCTTGGAGATGATTGCCAGCCAGTGCAGGTTAGAGCAGCCCCCAAACTGCTCTTAACCTATCCTGTGGTTGGGGGTGGAGTCAAGCAGAGAATCAAATATCGCTGACCCTCTCTGACGGCTCCACTCTGCAGCACCGAGCAGCAGAGAATCCGGCCTCCACTTGGCCTAGGACAGGGCAGGAAACTTGTAAGTCAACAGTTGCAGATGTAAAGAGTTGCTTTTGATTGCTTGACTTCTTCTGGTTCCTTTCTTCTTTGCAGAAAATCAGCCGGGCCCCTTCAGACGAGGAATGCTTCTTTGACCTGCTGAGCAAGTTCCAGAGCAGCCGAATGGATGACCAGCGCTGCCCGCTAGAAGAGTGCCAAACAGAGGCTGCTGCCGCCTCCGTGCCTGCCCTGGAAGAAGGAATATGTAAGCACTTGGGGGCTCCCGTTAACGAGAGTAATGACATGTCTGCAGTGCTGCCAGTTCTCAGGAATTTATCGCAAGTCTGGCAGTAGTTGGTGTTTTCTTTTAAATCCCCAGCTCCTGGAGTCAGGTGCTTATGTGAGAATCTCAGCTTTCGCTTGTTCAAAAGTATCTTTCCTGGTTTCAGAGAAAAGCTTGAAAAGATGAGCCCCAAAGGCACAAGGACCAAGACACACATAAAAAGAACCCCAGAATTTTGGGGTTGGCTATAATGTTAAGGCGCTCTGGCAAAATTCTGTTTGCTGACACCCCTGGGTCATTTGCCATGTTTTTTGTTGGGCAAGTAAAAGAGTGTTAGGTTTTTTTCATTGAAATCGTCATTTGGTTTTTGTGCTTCTGAATTTTGTTCAGCACTTAGATACTATGAGGAAAGGTGCTGGAGAGAAAGGTAAACCCATAGGGGGGACACAGAGCACAGACAGGTAGATAACCACAGGAAGATCGCAGATAGCTGAATGAATAGGTAGATAAAGTGTATGAAAACTAGATGGTAGTGATATCAACATAGTAAGGGTAGGCAAGGAGATTGGGTGCTGGACTGGTATATTTTCATGGCCATTTTGCAAGGCTGTGATGAGATGTGTTTAAACAGTCATCAGAAAGCAACGGCTAAAGAGACAAGTATTCAACTCTTCGCTTTAAAAGCCATTTCTATGGTACTTTTATTTGTTCCATATGTTTTTGATCAAACTATGCAGTTTGGAACAAACAAACATAAAAGAAGATTTAAAAAAAAAACAAACCCCTGACATCCCTAAAACGGCTGACACACGAGACGCAGCACCGAAGCACCCAGGGAACATAGAGCTGGGATGACGCGTACGCAGCAGCGAGAGCGAACTAGTGCTGAACCCGTCAGGCTGTGTTGTGACAAGGAGCACAGCCCGGCTCCGAGTCAGGTGGCTTTTCACCCTAAAAAGAGACTGGAAGTGTACATCATTTTTATAAAGATACGCATGTTTCTGATACAGAAACCAGCATGGGTTTCCCAGCTGTGCTGAGGGCTATAATCGAGGGAGCTGTAGGCAACAGCAGCCTTTAAGCTGTTCCAATATTGCCATCAGCCCAGGTGCTCGAACTCCAGAGCAGGAGGCTGGATTAAAAATCATGATTTGTTAATAAAAACGTGAATTTGGGGCTCTGTTGATTCAGCTCCTGATTTCTGAGCTTTTGTGCTGTCCTCACTTAACATTATGAAGCTTTTCTCCACAACCCTGACGGCTAGAAACTTAGGTGCCTAAATACCTTTGAGCTTCTGGGCCAAATTCTCATTGGAATCAATCCCTTTTGACAGTCTGGGCCTTGCTTCCTTTTTTAAATGAAAGCTGAGATTCTCATGTATTAACATGCCTCCGTTAACAGGAGGCTTTCAGGACAACTGCAAATACTGTGAGACGCTCGATAAAAGGGCGCGTTGGGCACACTGCTGTTTAATTAATTTGCACTCTCGCTTAGACAGTAAAAGTACGTGGCCTGTTTTACTTTCTATTTAGAGTTATTTACTGGGTCCCCTTTGCTCGCCCGGTGTTAGCGTGTTTGGATTTCTACGTTGCGGGGGAATGTTTCGTTCCTAACCAGCAGCAAAAAGGAACCACCCCGCTGTTTTCATGGACTGTTGAATATTGTTTCTGGGCTTGCGATTTAACATTTTCGTTGTGCAGTGCCTTCTGTTTGCTTACACCCGTCGTTTCAAAGCCCTCCTGTCTGAGGTTCACAGCAGTGCCAAATGTGGTGCCATCCAGACCTGGTCATGCCAGGCGTGATGGGCATTGGCAGCACAGTAAGTCTGCACTTCGGCGTAGGGACGTTAGCCAGCACGTTGGGCCGCTGGCTGAGCTTGCAATGCACCTTCCCCTTCGCTTCCCCCAGCCCTGTTTCCCACGGGTATGCTCCAAGACAGAGCACGGCCCCTCACATGGAGCGCCAGCTCCTCGGCTCAGGGGGCTGTCTGTGCCAGCAGCCTGCTGGTCTTTTGCTTCTCATAGGGAGGCAGCACTGGAATCTTTAGGTGGCATTTGGAGCGTGTGCCCTTGTGCTGGATGTGAGCATAGCACTGACTGCTTGTAAGGAGGGTGGTGGGAAGTCATGGCTCAAATTCTCCTCTGGGGGAAATGGGCAAATCTCCACTGAAGCCAATGGAACTGAGCCCATTTATATCAGCGGAGAGCTTGGCTCGCGCTCTAGCTCCCAAACGCACACCCGGCCGGACAGCCTTCGGAGGAGCAGGCTGGCTCTGGGAGGACTGAAAAGAACCAGGCTCGGACTGTGATTTCCTAAGGCACACGGTATGACGCAGCTACCTCTGCCTTGTGCTGGACAGAGCATTTGCAGCCATTGCCCAGGCAGATACCGTATCTGCACTGGCCCTGAAAGGCGAGAGTTGTCTGGGGGACTCGGAAAGGATGAGCCGTCTGATGAATCACTTACCTCTGCTTGCACTTGGCTGATTACATGGCCTCTAATTATATCCCACCCGTTGTAATTGCACGGGGCGTCTGTCAGGAGGCTGCCTGAGCGCAAGACAGAAAGCCACTCAAGCTTCCAGGGACTTTGGAGTCAATTGCAAGCACAATTTCTGTAACTACCGCCTACTTGGAACTGGCCACCCCCTGCCCCCGAATCCTAAAATTAGGCTTAATAACGAGGAAGGCGGGAAATGACGCTTCAGACAGGTTCCTCGGTGGTTCACTGTAATCATGGCCTAGTAACTGACTTGGGGTCTGCAGTTGCACTGAGGAGGCTGCTCCGGGGCTCAGAACGGGCAATTAGAGGACGCATCGGAACCAGGAACGAGCCTGTTCGGTCCCACCACCCGGGAGTTCGCAAAGGCAGACCCGCTCGCCCGTGTCGGAGCTTAAAAGGCCACTTGGGCGCTTGTGCCCGCGTTGATGGCACCGTTCTGCACCCTGATCCGCTCCCCACTGCATTCTCCTGCGCTCCTTGCCAGCCGCTCCCAGCGGGAGCTCACTGCTTGGAGCGACAGCAGCATGGGGGAGCCAAGATGCAGCTTAGAATCCTGCGTTTCTAGCCCTTTGTATGGCACTGGAGGGGTGCCAGGCGCTTCAGACCCAGGTCAGCCTGGCAGCACACCCCAGGCAGGGGGGAGGGAAGGGTTACTTTCCTGATCTGGAGGGGTCAAGAGGCACAGAAATTAAGCTCCTGGGGCAGTACAGCCATTTGCTAGGAGAGCCAGAGCGGGACCTCGGGAATCCCTGTGCTGGGGATTAGAGAGCACTGCAGCAGCTGTATGGGAGTGGATGATGTCTCATGGCCCCGGAGTAAGGTACAGTTTTTGCTTGCATGGCTTCACAGGCAGAGGGCTGGCAATGCAATGAGAATGCTAGAGATTAAGTACCTTCTTGAAAGGCCACGTCAATGAGGCATCTCTTCCCTAATTTAATCTAATCATCGGTCCAAGTGCAATTAATATCCTGTCCTGCTCCCTTTGTGCAGCCTTGTCAGCCAGGGGGAGATGTGTAGACAGAGTTTCTGTGGTTTACCCTATAAAGCCAGCTGCTTTCCCCCTTCGCTGCCCGATGTTTATGCACTCTCAGAGCCCTCCTTCCAGAGAAAAGGAGTACTTGTGGCACCTTAGAGACTAACCAATTTATTTGAGCATGAGCTTTCGTGAGCTACAGCTCACTTCATCAGATGCATACTGTGGAAACTGCAGCAGACTTTATATATACACAGAGAATATGAAACAATACCTCCTCCCACCCCACTGTCCTGCTGGTAATAGCTTATCTAAAGTGATCATCAGGTGGGCCATTTCCAGCACAAATCCAGGTTTTCTCACCCTCCACCCCCCCACACAAATTCACTCTCCTGCTGGTGCTAGCCCATCCAAAGTGACAACTCTTTACATAATCAAGTCGGGCTATTTCCTGCACAAATCCAGGTTTTCTCACATCCCCCCCACCCCCATACACACACAAACTCACTCTCCTGCTGGTAATAGCTCATTTAAACTGACCACTCTCCAAGTTTAAATCCAAGTTAAACCAGAACATCTAGGGGGGGGTAGGAAAAAACAAGAGGAAACAGGCTACCTTGCATAATGACTTAGCCACTCCCAGTCTCTATTTAAGCCTAAATTAATAGTATCCAATTTGCAAATGAATTCCAATTCAGCAGTTTCTCGCTGGAGTCTGGATTTGAAGTTTTTTTGTTTTAAGATAGCGACCTTCATGTCTGTGATTGCGTGACCAGAGAGATTGAAGTGTTCTCCGACTGGTTTATGAATGTTATAATTCTTGACATCTGATTTGTGTCCATTTATTCTTTTACGTAGAGACTCTCCAGTTTGACCAATGTACATGGCAGAGGGGCATTGCTGGCACATGATGGCATATATCACATTGGTGGATGTGCAGGTGAACGAGCCTCTGATAGTGTGGCTGATGTTATTAGGCCCTGTGATGGTGTCCCCTGAATAGATATGTGGGCACAATTGGCAACGGGCTTTGTTGCAAGGATAAGTTCCTGGGTTAGTGGTTCTGTTGTGTGGTATGTGGTTGTTGGTGAGTATTTGCTTCAGGTTGCGGGGCTGTCTGTAGGCAAGGACTGGCCTGTCTCCCAAGACTTGTGAGAGTGTAGGGTCATCCTTTAGGATAGGTTGTAGATCCTTAATAATGCGTTGGAGGGGTTTTAGTTGGGGGCTGAAGGTGACCGCTAGTGGCGTTCTGTTATTTTCTTTGTTAGGCCTGTCCTGTAGTAGGTAACTTCTGGGAACTCTTCTGGCTCTATCAATCTGTTTCTTTACTTCTGCAGGTGGGTATTGTAGTTGTAAGAAAGCTTGACAGAGATCTTGTAGGTGTTTGTCTCTGTCTGAGGGGTTGGAGCAAATGCGGTTGTATCGCAGAGCTTGGCTGTAGACGATGGGTCGTGTGGTGTGGTCAGGGTGAAAGCTGGAGGCATGCAGGTAGGAATAGCGGTCAGTAGGTTTCCGGTATAGGGTGGTGTTTATGTGGCCATTGTTTATTAGCACTGTAGTGTCCAGGAAGTGGATCTCTTGTGTGGACTGGACCAGGCTGAGGTTGGTGGTGGGATGGAAATTGTTGAAATCATGGTGGAATTCCTCAAGGGCTTCTTTTCCATGGGTCCAGATGATGAAGATGTCATCAATATAGCGCAAGTAGAGTAGGGGCTTTAGGGGACGAGAGCTGAGGAAGCGTTGTTCTAAATCAGCCATAAAAATGTTGGCACTGATGCCGTCTAGACTTTATTGATGTTGTGTCAAGCAAGGCAATAAGCCCCCTCTGATCTTTTAAAAGGTTTTTTTTAATGCCACAGAGAAAATGATAGCCGCAGCATGTGCTGTTCCCAAGGCCAGCTTGCAGGGTGCAAACTGAGCCTTCATGCCTTCTACAGGCAAGGTCCTACCAGCCATTGTGCTCTGAGTGAGCGCGCTCCTTGCAAGGCCTCCGGCACCCCCAGCCTGAGTGGATTGTGTGGCACTGCTGTGGGGAAGTTCACAGCACCAGCAGTCTGCTCTCCCTAGGAGTGGCCCTCACTTTAGCGGGCTGATTTCAGAAAGCCTGGTCTGAGATGAGGCCCTGGCTGGCCCTGCACATTGGTAATGGGAGCTGCCTGCAGCTCAGAGGGGCCATTCAGCTTTGGCTTGGCCAGACCCACTGTTATAAAAGAAAAATCTTGGTCATTTGTTCTTCTTTGCCATTAGATGAAATGGCTGCAATTCGCTTCTCTCCTGCTGTAGGTCAGCTGAGCGCATTCAGTGCAGGGAAATGAGGTTACTCTTAGAAGGGGGATCAATTAAGAGATCAAGTAGGGCAAAAAAAACCAGCTCAAATCACTTTTCTGCTGAGTGAGGCTGACCCCAGGTCTGGTCTAATCTCGGCTCTGCCACTGACTAGATGGTTACCCTTGGGCACATCACTTGCTCGCTCACTGCCTCAGCTTGCCCATCTGTAAAAGGGGATCATTTACTAATTAATAATGATGCACTTTGAACTTTATGGGGGCCAAGCTCTAAGGGCTTTACAGAGGCAGGGCGGGATTAGCCACCCCCACTGTGCATGCACTGAGAAGCACAGAGGGGTGAAGTGACTTACCCAAGATCACCGAGCAAATCTGCATCACAGCCCAGAACAGAACCCAGGCGTCCTGGCTCCCAGACCTCAGAGGGGTGGTGAACGAGTTAATTAGAGACTGAGCAGCATGTTGGAGCTGAACAGCACCGTGACACGGGCCCCCTCCCTGGACTGACGCCCTGGTGCTCTCCCTGTCCCCCCCACAGCTCAGTCCTCATTAATGGCATCGCCGCAGACAGAGGAGTTCTTTGATCTCATCGCCAGCTCCCAGAGCAGGCGGCTGGATGACCAGCGTGCCAGTGTGGGCAGCCTGCCCGGCCTCCGCATCACTCACAACAACCTGGGGCACCTGCGCATGGAGGGGGATGCCCAGGAGCCAGGGGACGAGTTCTTCAACATGCTTATGAAGTGCCAGGTAGGCAGCTTGCTCTTCTGCACTGACCCCAGGGGCTGAGACACCGCTCGGCCCGGGAGAGCCCCAGGGGGCAGGGCTGTGCCAGCTCTCCTGCCACTCCTAGGGCTACACCTGGGGCCCATCCCGAACAGTACACAGCACTGTATGAACATGGGGCAAGACCGGCAAAGGGCCCAGCGTCCTCTTTGCGGGGCCACATTTGTGCCTCCAGAACGGAAGAGCAGGTGCCAGTCAAGGTCTTGCGCTGCTCTTTGATTGCACCTGCAGTTAGGTAGGCCAAGGCGCAGGGCCCACGCCTGTCCAGTGAGTGCACTTTGCCCAGGCTTTGCCTGCAAACCAGGAGGGAGTGAGGGGAGCGGCCTGAGAGGCTGGTCCATTAAAGCAGGGCTCATGCCAAACCCTGTGAAAAGCCCTTCCCTTCCCCTCTGGCCCTGGGCTCAGGGCCACCGTTTCCAGGGTGGGATTCTTCTGCCCTTTCTTGCCACCTCCTCGTGGCAACCCCTTTCGCCCATAGCCAGCTGCAGGGAGCTCGCTGTCCCCCCAGCAGGACAAAGTCAGCTGTCACTGAATCCCCTGGTCCTTGCGCTCAGGCGGGAACTGTTTCTAATGCCTGTTTCTCCTCCCCTCCCCTCCGCCGTGCCAGTCATCCCGGATAGATGACCAGCGCTGCGCTCCGCCGGACACCGTCCCCCGTGGCCCCACCATGCCTGACGAAGACTTCTTCAGCCTCATCCAGCGTGTCCAGGCCAAGCGTATGGACGAGCAGAGGGTGGATCTGGCTTCGGCCCAGGAGGAGCAGCAGAGGAGACCTAGCTCCAGCTAAGAATTGGGGTTTGCTTTGAGGAAAGCAACGTCTGTTTAAAACCTGAGCTTGGCTGTTCCGTGGCAGACTGTCCCGGTGAGGAGTAGCCCTGCTCAGTGAAGGGGGGGAAGGGGGCGTTTCCTACCGCTTTGGTAGTTTTGTCTTTCTTTGGAGTAGGGGCCAGGCAGGTTCACCAGCTGGGGACAGTTTTTCTTTATGGCTTTTTATACAAACAATGACTCTTCTACGGCTGAACAAAGCTAGGAGGAACTGCTCACGCACGGCTGGGCGCCAGGGAAGTAGACTGAGACAACCGGTGAATTGGCTGCTGCAGTCCCCCCGCCAGCAGTGCCTGCGAGCGTCTGCACCTCCCTGCCGAGCTCTGTGGGGAAGGGGTGTCCAGCTGGGCTGGGGTGCAACTGTGGAGAAGCTGAAGGCAGCCAGCAGCCCATGGTCCCATGTTCCGTTAGGTATTTTATTTCTGCAACACGTGGGTTAACGGGGACCCTCTCTTTGCTGTGGACTCCTCCCTCCCTGCTTACCGTCTGGCTCGGAGATGTTTGGAGCTGTCCTCACCAGCCTGCCAAGGTGTCAGCAGCAGCCATTGGAACTGGGGTCCTGCCCTGCAGGGCCGAGCTTGGCTTTTTCCCACAGGGCTGAGCAAGCCCAGTTCAGCTGCTGTGCGCACGTGGGGCTGCCACTGCTTATGGCAACGCCCCCCCCTGCAAAAGCAGCTGCATCAAGGAGGTTGCCCATAACTATCTCCACAGCCAGCACATTCAGGGCCCAGGGAGATCCTCTGACCATGAACCAAGAGGTCCCCAGTATACTTGGCACTAGCCCCTGCCAGCTGTTGGCCTGTGTGACAGTGCTCCTGGTTGTTTGTGTCACAACTGGCATTGCTGGCAGCAAACCCCGTCACAGACCCACTGGGGACCCGGCGGGTTCAGGTTGAAGCAGAGCCGCAGGAGCGGAAACTTGGTTTGCTGCGTGTTGTGAAGCTGGAAGCTGTCAATCGGGCACCGTTCACTGCTCTAGAAATACAGGTGCCCTGTGTTTTTAAAGGAAAGCTGTTAGTCTGGCCAGTGTGAATCTAGCTTAGAGCACTGCCCCCATCCATGGGGCTTCATAACGTTCCTCTTTTCTCTTGCAGTAGTAGCTAGAGGCCTCCAGCCTGGTCGGCACAGGAGCACAAAGGGAATGGGCCAACTTTGGTGGGGACTTGTCAGTCACTTTCAAATAGGCTGAAAAACAACCCTCCTGCCTCACACAGAATGGGGCTAGCCACCCTCAAGTTTAGCTGTACAGAGGTGCCCCTTTGCACTGCTGCGCTAGCTGGGACTGGCAGGGCTGCATCAGTCCTCTGGTGGGCCTTCCAGCTACTGTTCATCTCCCCGCAAGCCCATTCCTGGGTCTAGTGCTGAGTCCCCGTTGCCCCCACGTCTCTCTCAGGAGCGGCCTTCATGGAAAATTTCCAGCAGCAAGAAATTCAGCCAGGCACCACTTAGCCCAGCTGGGGGGAGGCCCTAACATGTGTAGATGTCCTAGGTGTGAGCAGGTAAAATTCACCCCTCACTACTGCTGGAGGGATCAACCAATGCAAGGACTGGTTCAGGGGCACCATCAGTCCCTGCATTGTATTCGGTAAGAGGGGCCACCTCGCTCCTGGGCTCCTGCTGTTACGACAACATGACCAGCAGTGGACTCGTGACCGTGCGGCGCTTGGCCAGACCACAAACTGGAATCTGACCAATCAGCTTGCAGAGCGTGACGTATTTGCCATATACTTGAATGTATGAGCTTATTTATTTTTTACGTGTGCATTTGCTAATGTCATTTTAAGAGGGAATTTTAACCCACCAGGTACTTGTTTTTTCCTTAAAAAATAATAATCTGCCAAATGAATTAATATATAGAAATACATAGGGCTTGGGAGGGGGGAGGGGTTGTGCTTAATAAACATTTGTGGTCCAAACTTCCAGGCCAAGAGTAACTTTCTACTGCTTCACCAGAACACAGCAGCCCCTTGTCTGGGCTGAGGACTCCCAGCCCAGGAGAGAAGGCAGGAACCAAGGCCTCTGGGTGTTTTTTTTTTTTCGGAGAACTCCACCAGCAGTGCAAGCAAAGCCCTGCCTGGGGAAAGGCACATGCTAAAGTTCCCGGGTCTCAATCAAAGCATTGGGCCATCAATGCAAACAAACAGCCCCTGCTGCAGGGCTCTTGGGGAACAGTAACTAGCTCTCCCAGCCAATGAGGACAGGCCCATGACTGGTTTCTGTCTCCAAACAATTGCTTGAACTGTCTGTCCTACAGAGCAGTCACAGAAGGCAAGCTGCGATGGGACAGCCCACTCCCCCAAAGGAGGCCTCTCTCACCCCGTGCAATTCAGTCCTCCCTTAAGGGACCGAGAGCCAAGTCCCCACCCAAGCTGTGCACACTTCTGTCCAGGTACAAAGGCTCAGGTTGGTCATACATTGAACTGCTTTCACACACACCTGCTCCAGGGCCCCGGCCTCTCTCCCTTCGGGCATGCAGCCGGCGGACTCGGTTTCAGAAGTCAAGAGCCACGCCAGTTAGAATTCTGACCCCTACCTGAAGCGATAGCCTTTGAATCCTCTCCAGGGAGACAGGACTTGCAAGGGTGGCCACAGATCCCCCGGCCCAGCACGGCTGTTTGACTCTTCACAGCTGCCTGCTCACACTAGCTTTAGGTCAGCCATTGGACGCTCCCCTCTGTGGGCCAGACGCTCTGGATTTGCTTGCTGGTAGTGAGACCATATCAATAACCAGAGGCTGCTGAATAGTAGGGAACCCCCTACGTGCCAGTGCGGTCAGGGCTGGACATTGTTGGCCCTACCCAGGGCAGCATAAAGTCAGTGGCCAGCTGAGGTGAACAGTGATCTTAGCCTCCCCACACGCGTGCTGTCCTTCAGCTTTCACTAGGAAGCAGGCGGCATTCGCCTGTGGAGCTGAGAGCAGCCCCCGCAGCTGAGCTGGCAAACTGCGTTCTGCGACCCACGCTCCAGCCCCCGGGAGCACTGGGGCAACCCCGTGCGCTGCTAACGAGGAGGATGGAGGCTGCTGGGGAGGGCAAGCTGCGGAGACACAAAGCAGAGGCACGGTAAGTAGGCTAGGGACAGACCTTACAGCTAGCCCCCAGGTACGGACCAAGGCAGAAGAGAACCATGGAAGGATGGGACTCTCCAAGCAGAGAGGAACAGCGCACGCGGAGGCTGTAGGCAATGCCCAGCCCTTTGGAAAGGGGGGAGGTGGGGTCAGATGCCTGACATTTCCATTGCCATCTGGTGGGCAGCGGAGAAGGGGTTTGAGATTCTGCAGGAGGGACAGCTGCATGTCTGCACTGTCATCACACCAGCAGCCTCTCTTGCCAGGCCAAGGGAGAACCGAATGCTTAACCCGGGGCTGGCCCAGGGAGTGGAGGGGATTTGTGGTTAGCATTCTGTACCAGCAGACAGGAGCCCTAGGACTGACTCCCTGCCTCTCACTCCCCTGGACTGGCTGGGAAGATGGCGCCCCCTCGGGCTGAGCAAAGGGCAGAACAGTCAAAGCCTGGAGCTAGCAGTATGGAGCTGGGCTACGAGCGTGAGCAGTGGGGTAAAGGGCAAGTCCACCAGCAACGCTAAGGGAAGGTGAAGGGGGAAGCTCAGAAAGGCTGTTACCGGCCGTCAGGTCTTGACACCTCCTGCCAGCTGGGATGGGAGCCTCGGTTCTCGGGTGGGCAGTGGGCCCCTCACAGCACCTAGGGAACAGAAGTCACCCAATGTGAGCGTTTTCTGAGGAGAATGGCCATGTAACGGGTGTGCAGGGGACAACCCCCTGCCAGATTGCTATGCAATCAACAGCTTTTGCCCCATGCACTGGGGGGAAATCCTCACACTTCAAAGTTGCTTTCTCCATGGCACATGTTACCCTTCCTCACAGTTTCAGAGCAGCACACCGAGGGCTAAGGGGTCTGGCAGAGAAAGGGCTGAGGGTGGCACCACTTGGGGATAAGGGGAGACAGGCTGTAAACCATCAACCTGCATTTACAGCAGGTTCAGAATAGTAACAGGGATAGATAGCGCCCCAAAGCCGAGGAGGGCAGCAACTGACCGGCACCATGCACCAGACCAGGAAAGTTTTGGACAAGAGCAGCAGGGTAAACACCTACTCCAACAAGACATGCCAGGGGCTCTCTGTGATGCAGACATGGTGGTCGCACATGCACAGTGGGGAAATGGCTTGCAATACCATTTGTATATCTCAGGAGGAGGAAAGGTGGCAGCAGCCTGGCTGGGATTTGAACCTGTAATCTCAGAGAGCCTCTGGAGCCCAGGTTACATCCCCAGCAGAGGAGTTATGTTGTGGTACATCTATGTACCCGCACCCTAGGCCTGCTGTCGGAACAGCCAGGGAAGTATTTGGCTGAGCTCTCTGGCCCGTCCTGCTTTGCTAGGTCACTTCCCAGCTTCCGGCTGTCATCCTGTGCAGTGGACATGTCTCACCCCAGCTCCCCGCACAGACCTGCTCTCATCTGTCTATCCATTGCTGCACCCCAGCTGAAGGTGCAGGGGGGATTCTAGATCATTCCAAGGCTCCCTTCCCCTCACGGTTGCCCGGGGAGGTGTCCCTCCGCTTTGGCCTAACATTTGCTCAAGAGCTACCATGGGTCACAGCCCTTCCTGAGACCCTGGCTAGCCCATGGGGGTGGGAGTGTTACACCTCTCCTCCTAGGAGCCCCCAGGAAATCCCCCTCCCCTCACCCCGCTCTCCTCATGTATTTGTTGCTGTCATGCAATTCCGAAGCCAACGTCAGCAGCGTAAGGCCTGGGCTGTTCCCAAACTCACCAAGAAACTGGCCTCCTGCGTTAACGGATCCTGGAACAGCACCGTTGCTTGCCCCCATCAGGATCAAAGGAGGCTGCAGCTCTTGGCCTTTCCATAGTTCCTCTGCTCCCTGCATCTACTGATGGGGTGGACACATCCCGGAGTCCGGACCAAGAAGCTGAGAGCGAGCAAGAGACTGGGCCGGGGGTGAAGGCTGCGCAGGGTGGGCCGGATCCCTCGGGTAGCCAAGTCCCTGTGGATGCTGCTGCTCAGTCTTAGGGGGGGAGAGAAGATGTCAGTCAGTCTGCAGGGAAAGTTACACAGAGTGCCCACAAGGTCAAGGCAGGTGCACGCCGCTCGCCCCCACGCTCGCCCCCATAAGCATCTCCTTAAGCCTTGCAGTCTGGCAGCCCTTGGAGTCAATCAGCACTGATAAGAGCATCAGTTCAGCCTCCTCACGTTAAGGGCTCTGCCATGGTGACACCTGCGGGACGAGCCACAGGAGGACTGGGCAATGGTTAGTATAAATCCCGTGTTCTTACATAGCACATTCCACCACCCGCAGCTCTCAAAGCACTTCTCAACTGTGGTCGTGCTTTGCATGTGGAAATATGGCCCACCCTTCACAAAGCACCTTCCTTCCCCAGAGCACGGCACTCTTCACAGGCTAGCAGGGGTCGCTCCCGACACCGGGGGAGGCAGTCGGCAGCTATTGAACAGCACATGGCTGCAGGGGGATAGTGTCCACGTGGCCGGCAGGGGGAGTTCCTAGGAGGCAGGACACAGTTACCCAGAGCGCGAGGGCTAACGCTTGTCCTGCTAGAGGTCTCACTGGGAGCCACAGATGACCAGGCCAGTGGGTTTACGTTTACAAGAGGCCTGTGCTCTGGTTGCTAAAATGACCGGGACATTCCTAGCACTGGTTCCTGGATTGGCTAACCCCACGTAAATTGCCCCTCTCTAAAGCATTTGGGATACTGGGCCAAATCCCCAGTTGGAGTAAGTCAACACTGTCCCATTGACTTTGATGGAGCTGCGCTGATTTACAGCAGCTGAGGATACGGCCCACAGCTGGTGATGTTTTACCAGACGTGTTACCTGGCTCTGTGCGGCAGGGGGCTGGAGAGGGTGAGAGAAGCTGATGCAGCTTTTGGAGCAGGAGAGAACGTGTCAGTTGGCCTTCTGGTACAAGGTGATATCTCCCCCAGGGCCGGGCGGTGCTGAGACAATGCTAGAGACAAGCATGGCCTGCGGCGGGGGGGCAGGGGTCCAGAGCCTGCCAGGGAGACAGAAAGGAAGATCATTGCCAAGGTCACCAGACTATCACAGCAGTGGGTCACTCTAGGGCGATGCAGCCTAGTGGTTGGGGCAGAGCATTGGAAGCTGGGATTCCTGGCTTTTTATTCACGGTTCCTTAACCTTTCTGTTAGCCAGGCCTCTCTGTTAGAGATAAGGGGGGAGGGACTTGGACAAAGCACTGTATGGGACTCTGGGTTCCATTCCAGTTAGTGCCAACAGACTCCCTGTGCCTCAGTTTCCCCTGTTACATAGGGTAAAAGCACTTCCTTCCCCTCCCTTCTTTGTCTGTCTTTTTATATAGTAAGCTCTTCAGTGCAGAGATTAGAAAGAGGACAGCGATCGATTATTCTCCACATCAAGGAAGGTAGGACAGGACACAATGGGTTCAATCTGCATCAAGCGAGATTTAGATTAGAGATCAGGAAAAACTTTCTACCTACAAGGGCAGTTCAGCTCAGGAACTGCTTCCCAGGGAGGTGGTGGAATCGCCGTCATAGGAGGTTTTTACGGACAGGCTGGACAAACCCTTGTCAGGGATGGTCTAGGGTTACTTGGTCCTGGCTCAGCACAGGCGAGGGGATTTGATGACCTCGTGAGGTCCCTTCCATTTCTAGGATTCCATGAGGGCAGACAGACTAGCTGCTCCAGCAGCAACTCATCAGCCCCTAGGGCTTGGGCTGAGACTGGACACCATGCACCATGTATGGGCAGAGGGGGCTCTCCATAGAGCTGCAGGTTCAAGCACTAGGCGAGGCTCCCGCATGCTGTCTGCACTGCGACCTCTCGCTCCAGGGGTCCTAGCCACCGGCTACTGCCAGCTCCAAGCAGGTCTTTGTGAGCAGGAAGGAAAGCAGCCCCCCAGGGAGAGTTGCATTCAACAGCCCTCAGGATGCCCTTCCTCCCTGCCGGTCAACGGCCACAGAGTCCACCCCAAACAAGCCCTTCTACTCACACCAGTTCCAGAGGTAGGAGGCTCGCCAGCTGAGGCTGGCCCATGGACAGAGGCTGAAGGCAGCTCCTGAGAACCAGCTGTGGAGGGGGAAGCCAGCGATGGTGCCTGACTGGGTTGCGCTCTCTCCCCAGCATCAGAACCCTTCTTGTTCGGCTTGGGGTTCTCCTACAGGCGGGACGGGAAGCCAGGAGGTTAACGGAGCAGAAGGGGAGAAGATATGGCAACAGAACACACAATGAGCCGGCTCCTCTGGTCTGTGTTTGGGGTGCCACAGACCAGGCTGAACCCGGCTCCTGATAACCCCCTTTACGCAGCCTCCCTCCTGTCACGGTTTTGACCTCAGACGCCCACCCTGCAGCCACTAGCCCACCACACTGGGATCAGGGCTGTTTGCTCAGCCTCTCTGTGTAGGACTGCCTGATAGTCCCTGGGAGCTCCACGCCCTTAAAACAGGCGGTCTCCCCAGCCTCTGCCAGGGGGCCAGCTGGGGTGACCGCCGGCTAGGCCCACATGTTGCAGAAGGCTGATGCCATTCAAGGTTAGAACGGAGGCTGCAAAGGTCACGTTGATAAAAGCAGGGGAATCCCATAGATGTGCCTAATCCATTCATCTGGACCAAACAGCCCATGTGATGCTGGGGCCTCTGAGCAGAGAGAAAAGGACCCATCCAGAGAGTTCTTGCTCTCCAAGGCCGAGACACCCCGCCCGGCACAGCAGCAAGGAAATACATAGCGTGGGCCAACCCTGTTCTCACCCACAGGTGGCATGGCAGTCACCAGGGCACTTGAGAGGGCACAACTGAGCCATAGAGGGCAGGGTGCCTTTAGAAGACACCCGGTCCCACCGTGTGGGAGAGCTGGGGCTCACGCCTTGCCCTTGGACTGGTGGGAGTCGGCAGCAGGGAGGAAGCAGCCCTCGGCATTAGGATGGCAGGGGCACCTCCTCCCGGCCAGCCAAGGACCAGCCTTGATGGGTTCCTCTCGAAGGCTGATGAGGAGCAGGGTAAGGAAACAGAGGGAAAAGGGCTGGACGGGGATTGTTATTTCAGGCAGTTTGGAGACAGGTGCCAAGGTTCAGCCAGTTCTGAGGAGCGACTCCGTGGGACCTGGGCTATTTCCCATGCGCTGTTGCTTCAGTGCTGAGGCCGGACACTTCCCTCCCCTCTCCTCAGGGCCCTCACCCTGTTCTTGCTTCAGCCGTTGACCCTCATCTGGCTGAAAAGTCTTTCAGACCCCCCCATACGTTGCAGTCCACAGCTGGAGGGCTGTCCTAGGCTGCTCACAAAGCTGGCCCTTTTGGGACCTCTCCAGGATGAAATGTGATGATGGAGTGAGTTAGCTCCCCTGTGATATCACCCTGACTCTGGACCGTCCCATCCAGGCAGGCAGAGGATGCTGTATCACGGTACACTGGGGAACTGCCTTCTGTCGGTTCCATACCAGCCCCGGGTCCCAGCAGACAGGGACATGCTCGTTGAGAACAAAAGGCCAGACTAAGAGCTCATTGAGCGTCCTTCATCCGCAGCTGCTGTGCTCAAGGCTCACAGGTGAAAGTAACCAGTAAGGCAGTTAGGACCATCCCACATCACAGGCCCAGGGACTCTGATTATGTACTTGTATCGTAGCACCCAGAGGCCCTGATCACGGACGAGGGTCTCGCTGTGCGAGGGGCTGGACAAACACAGAACAGAAAGGCAGGCCCCTGCCCCTTGGAGTTTACAATCGGAAGAACCAACCGCTCTCCTGTCTCTGGCAGTGACCTATAGCTGATGCTTCACAGAAAGACACACGCACCCTCCCGACCAAACAGTCAGTGATGTCTCAGGGCAAATCCCCTTCCAACCCCAGAGACCACCACAGAAGCCCTGACGCACGAGGGTCGGTATCATCACAACTTGGTGCCCTCGTTACCTCAGTAGCCTGGTTGCCTAGGTTACACCTGCTTGCACAGAGAGCTAATCGGTGTTTAAACCCATCCAACATATCCACCCCTATGAAGAAAGCAGGAGCCACAGCCCATGCCCCTCCCGCAGCCAGTCCCCCCTTCCCCTGCGTATGAGGGCCTTTACACGAGCAGTTAGCAAAACAAAGCAATAAATGCACATCATGAAAAATACGGGCCCGAAGCGGAAACTCCGTGGGGGGAGAAGCAGCTTTGGGACAGCCCTTTGGTACCAACCTTCCTCCACTGCTTGAGTTTGTGGGGAGGGGGCTCCCTATCTCCCCCCAGCCTCTTCATCTGCTCGTTAACCTTGCTAACGGTGCTCGGGCTGGAACCGGTCACCCAGGATCTGAAGTAGTAACAGTTACACCTACAGCCCCCTGCAGGCAAACAGGAAACGGTGTGATCAGGGGCACAGGGCCTTCTTGCCTGCGCAGCCAGGATAAATGCCAGGGCATCGGGGGTCTGATGCAAACCCCACGCAATGGGTGTGAATGGGCTTTGCAACGGGCCCCAAAAGAACAAGATCAGCGGGGGTCTGCCCTGCACCAACAACATCTGTATTTTCTTAGCAGGGCTCAGGTGGGGCTTTTCCCTTTTCCAGACTGTTTGGAGGGTTTCAGTGCCCTGGCCGCTTGGTCCCACACAGACGACACGGCACCTGCAAACAGGAGATCCAAGCCTTACAACCATCGGTGCCAAGAGAACCTCCAGGAGCTCCATCGAGCCTTTGAACCTCTTTGTTGGCCTTTGCTGTTTTAGGAGGGCAGCGCAGGGATCTGATTCCAGCAGCAGAGGGCAGTGGCATGTGCACACATCGTGTTTCCAAATAAACCCCGAGCTTTGCTCTGCGTTTATTCGTAAAGTCCAAAGCCAGCAGGGATCACTGTGATCATCTAGTCCGGCCTCTGTACAACACAGACCACAGAACGTCCCCACAACAATTCCACCATGACCCTCGGTAAGTTGCTCCAATGGTTAGTTACTCTCCCTGTTAAAAATGTACCCACCTTACTCCCAGTCTGAATTTGTCTAGCTTCAACTTCCAGCCACTGGATCGTGTTAGACTTTCTTCTGCTAGAGCAAAGAGCCCATCGTCAAATGTCTTCTTCCCCTGTCGGTACTTACAGACGGCAATCAAGTCACCCCATAACCTTCTCTTTGTTAAACTAAATAGATTGAGCTTCGAGTCTATCACTAGTTCCTTTACTCAGTTTGTTCTCTGAACCCTCTCCAATTTATCAACATCCTTCTCCATTTGTGGACCCCAAACTGGACCCAGGATTCCAGTAGCGGTCTTACCACTGCCAAATACAGAGGTAAAATAACTTCTACTCCCACCTAAGATTCCCCTGGTTATATGTCTCAGAATCACATTAGCCGTTTTGGCCACAGCACTGCATGGGGAGCTCACGTTCAGCTGATTATCCACCATGACCCCCCAAATCTTTGTCAGAGTCACTGCTTCCCAGGCTAGAGACCCCCTCCTGCAAGTGTGGCCAATATTCTTTATTCCTAGATGTATACGTTTACATTTAGTTGTACTAAAAGGGCCTATTGTTTGCGAGGGCCCAGTTTACCAAGAGATCCGGATCACTCAGTATTCATGACCTGTCCTCTTCAGGATTTACCACTCCCCCAGTCTGTGTGTCATCAGCCAACTTTATCAGCAAAGATTTTGTGTTTCCAGCACATCCAAAGGTAAGGGGCTCAGGACATCCCCGGGAGGATGAGGAGCACATGTTTAGATATGGAGGCATGATGTCCGTGGGCAAAAGGGTGCACAACCTGTGCCTACAGTTATGCAGTAAGTTGCCACCACTGTGCACACAACTGGATAGGTGTCTAAATTCCCTTCTGTGCATGCCCATTATGGTAATGTTCACACCCGTGCAGCTGCTTCTCAGAGGGAACGTGGTGTCTTTCAGTTTATGGCAGACCTGTGCGATCACCAGAGGGACACAGCACATGCTTACAACTCACCTGAGGGTGTTAGCATTTCAGCTAGGACTCGGTGGGCCTCTGACTGGCCCATTAATGCTCGATCCCTCCAGTGCTGCAGCAGCCGGCCGTAGGTGTGGGCCATCTAGGAAGGAGCCAAAGGAGACAGCACATAGGAAACCTGTATGCTATATGGTACAGTCCATATCCATGCCAGGCCGCCTGATCCACCCCCATCGGAGTGAAAACAGGCTGGACACCCACCTCCCAGGCATGTGGAGCAAGAAGAGGACACTAACACATCAGGCCAATGCCCAGTGCAGTCTAGGGAAAGGAAGAGAGCCCTGGAGACTGGATGGTTTTATTTTAAATATTTGAGTGAGGGAAACTGAGGCACAAACAGATTAAGTGACTTGCCCAGAGTCTCATGGTGAATCAGAGGCAGGACTAGAACCCAGGAGCTCTGGCTTTTAGTCCCCCTAGCTCTAGCCCTCGCGGCCTCCCCAGGACCCTTTGGCAGAGAGGCGTTGGTATGCCAGATGTTCATTTCTTCTATATCTGACTGACTTGCTCTGAAGGCGCGATCTGCCCCACTGCTCCTGCGAGCCTGGCATCCCCGACACCCTCGTCCCCGCAGTGTGGGGGCACCTGGAGTATTTACCACTGTGAAGTTGTCCGCACAGCACTCCTCTTCGCCAAGTTCTGCAATGGGCTTGAGGAGCCCCGGAGCTCCTTTCCCCTTCTTCCGCTCAGCTCTGGCGGGCTTCTGTAGGGAACACCAGGCTTTCACTAGCAACCCCCTTGGGGTGTAACTCCGCCTGCCCCCACTGCCCAGAACACTCCATCCCCATCTCTAGATTGGTTAGCACCACACTGCCCCACACAACCCCATCCTCGGGGCAGGAAAGGGGGGACATTCATATTTCAACTTACCTGGCTGCTAGTTTGGAGCTTCTTATGCAGGAAGTTGTTGGAGTATCCCAGAATCCTTTGCGTGACTCTCTCGCATAGTTTCAGCTCTTCACGCAACACCCTCCGGTTCTTCAGGACAAAGTCCTCGAAGGCTAGGGACCTCCGCTGGCTCTCCTCCTTGAGGAAATCAACAGGACAGTGTTGTTACCTTGGCTCAGGGCCTCAGCGCACTGCATGGAATCAGGGTGCCTACCCCTCATTTCACTATTGGAGAAAGGCTGGGAAAACGCTTGCCCCAAACAAATTATACACTGAATTCATACCGGTGCTGAGAAAAGAACCCAGGAATCCCAAGGCCCAGTCCCCTGCTCTAACCACTGGACAACATAGCCACTCAAAAACCAGCTAGGCTTGCTGGCAGCCAGTACCACCCCATGGGTCTGCAGAGGCCCTGGGAGCCTATGGACACCGGAGACAATAGCACGTCATCACCCCAAATCCCTTCCCTGTACGTCTCCCTCTCTCTCCCTCTGGACTGAAAGTGATCAGTTGTCACCCTAAGCTCTGTTCTTGTCCATGATTATCGGCATTTCCCATGAGTCAGCTGGGCCAGAGCCCTGGCAGCAACACATTGGAGGACCCTGATGGAGAATCCTGCCTGGGAAGGCTCTGCCCACGCGCACGACCCCTCAGCTAGGGGACGTGCTGCTTACACCGCGGATGCTCCATTATTCCCCAGGGGTTTCACCCCACCCCACTCCTTGCCTCCTGGGCTCCCCGGCTTTCTGGCTGGCCCCGTCGCTGCAGAACTTCACAGCTTTCAGTTGCTTGGATTCCTGCAGCAACTTCAAGAACTCGAGGGCTCGTGTACAGCTCTCGCTCTCGCCCAGCCCTGCCAAAGGAGCAGCATGTCAGCACATCAGGGAGTCGGACATGGAACCACATGTGGACGGGGGGGCTCTACAAAGAGTTGTGCCCTGCTATGAGGAGCTGCTGAGCCCTCCGGGAAAGGGAGGCCCATGGGATTCGATCCAAGAGGCTGGGATTGATGGGGCAGACATTTCAGCTTTGGCTGACAGCGCCCACAGGACCCAGCCTTCCTCCCTCCTTGCATTACACTAATGCTGGGGACTATTTTTTATGGCTCACTTGGTGGCACCCTCACTGTGTGCACCACCAGGTCATGGGTTCAAATCCCACCCTAGGGTGTGAGTCAATAGCTCAAAGCAGACACTGGCAGTGATGGAGCGAGATGCCACCTTTTGGGAGTTACAGCCAGCGCCCTCTCGGGGGGAGGGCAGGTGAATGCGTGAGCTGCTTTTCGAGAAGCACATGGACTAAGCCACGCGTGTCGGTCAATCTTCCCGATAGCATTTGGGCACCATCGCGGTGGTCTACAAACGTTTCCCGTAGTTAATAGGTGGAAGTTTTAAACAACCTGACTCCCTGGGACCTCAGGTTGATATTCTGGCTGGGGTGACCCAGCCCTTCCCCTCTTTCTGAGCCAGATGAAGAGAGGCCTGTACAGTTCCCGACATGTGGGGCTTTCCAAGACGACCTTAGAACAAAGGTCCAGTCAGCGGTAGAGGGACACCAAGCTCATGGCAGTTTTTAAAGGGTATGACTACATCCCAGTGTTCTTGCTAACATGTCCCGTTCCTGTCACTAACACATTCTACACTCGCTGGTTGCCACCCTCCACCCCAGCAATGGCTGCATTTCAGTAGTGCACTAAGTACAGAGCTCTGGGATGAACGGCACGATGTTATATTACTCTAGGTCCATCTCCACCCACCTGGGGCTTTGAGATAATTCTGGAGGCAGAGGCAGGGTTTCCTGGTATAGGCAGGACAGCAGAGCTTGCTCCCATCCTGGTCCCCCACCATGGACCGTCCAAACGCCTGCAGCTGCTCTTCATGCCGCTTCCTCTCGTCCAGCCCAGGATCCTTCACAGGGTTCGGAGTGCTCCGAGGCCTGCTAAGTGTCAGGCCTAGGGGAGACAGCCCCGCCCCCGGAGGAGTTACAGCCAATGGTTATTACAGCTAGCGAAGGACGAGCTGTAATATTTTGCGTTTTCACACGTACGCACAGAGCTGCTAACACAACAAGGGCCGGATCGCAGCAGTAGCACCTGGAGACGGTACGTCGCTCCCAACCGCCCCAGCTACTGCACCTCCCCTTCGCTGATAAAAAACCCACAAAGACACTTTGGTGATACCAGTTACTACCACACCACTGACATTCTCCATGTCACTCTGCGGCTAGCCACCATGACTATATTCCTGGGACAGTAACCAAGCAGAGACAATACTGGGATCGGAGTGAAGGGCTTGGGGGACTGTTCGCAGGGAAAGGTCACTCTGCACACGTTGCAGTTGCTGGATCTCACATGGGTGGCAGCTGATAAAGGCAAAGGCCGATGACCCCACTGGGACTGGGGGGACATGATGTTCAAAGATGACCAGACATCACCCGGGGGGGCCTGGCCAGCACTTACCTGCTCACATCTAACCAGAGAATAGACTTTGGGAGAAGATCATAAGGGCCTGATCCTCTTCCTATTACAGGGAATTTTGCCACTGATTTTCAGTGGGAGCAGGATTGGGCCCTACATACAGACTGGCTGTATGGAGCCAAGATACCAAACACATCACACACAAAGCAGTGGCTGGATGGCTCAATACATGCATGGATTTTGTTTCCTGAGCAGGATTGCAGCATCCTTTGAACAAGAGGGAGAGACAGATACTGAACATAAGGTAGGGGTATCAGGTGATGCCCAGCTCAACCCCGCTCAGACCACAGGAGAGCACTTTCCCTCACCCCATGCCTTGCAGAGCGTCAGCACCTGGCCTGTCCTGGGATCCCGCTTGTGGCGCGGAGAAGGCAGAGAGCTTGAGGTCTTCAGCTGGTTGCCTCTGCGGCCGGGGTCGACCATGTAAGGAGAACTGCAGAGGTCGCAGCAGAATCCGCGCCCAGTCCCGGAATCTGGAATGACACCTACATACTGAGCACGAGAAGGGAACGGCATCTCCAGACACCGCAACCAACTAGCCACCTGCCACGTTCCCCCACAGGTCCTAGCCCCAGAGTAGCAGCACCCACTTCCCACCTCCTCACATGGGCGACCGAACAGCAGTGTCTTGACTCTATTACACAGGGTATCAAGGCTCCCTGGGATCTGAATGTGACCCAAGAGGAAATGGACTGAGATCTCTTAGCGGGAGGGGCAGAAAGCAACCTTGCAAAGCATATTTGCCATGGTGCTGAAAAGTCCTTGTGGGGTCTAGGAACACAGGAGTCACCAGACTGTACCAGATCCGGTTTCGATCTGGTCTAGCATAGGCCACCGCTGGACGCTTCAGAGGACAGTGCCAGAAACTTTGCATGTCTAGCATAATTCATACAATGCTCCTTTGCCACCCTTTCCACCCACTATCCCCAAGTCTACTTACTCAAGCCAGCTGCTCCTTTAACCCACCTTGTCTGCCCTGGCCAGCTGCACAATCCCCCCTGCTCACGTTTCTCCCTTTCACCACAATTTCCACTTCAGGAGAAAAGTTTCTTTTCTTCCTCATTCTCCTGCTCCTTCGGCGGACAGCCAGGGTGCTGGGTGGCTCTTAGACACAGCACATATTATATTATCTGCCTCCTTCAGATAATATCAGAGCTGGACCCACATGACACAGTCCAAAGAGAAATTCACAGTCCCCTGAAGTCGGGAAGTGTTTGTTCGGACCTATGGATCTGGCTGAGGCTTGGCTCATACTTGGCATTTCATAACTATAAAGTATGATGTGACTCCTGAGAACAGTCTTGGAAAGTCAGTCAATGTTCTACCTAATTTTTGGAAAGGGGAAACTGAGGCACGGAACAGGAGAAAATGACTTGGCCAAAGTCCCAGAGGGATTTAGCAGCAGAGTGAGGATGAGAATTCAGGAACTCCTGGTTCCCTGCTCTGTGCTCAGAGAACAGCTGTAGCCTGTGTTCAGGGATTGTACATCTCCTTGTGTTACATGGACATAACTAATGGCATCTCTGTGATTGTGTCTTAAATGAACAGAGCCATCTGTTGAGAATTTCTCTTGGGACAAATAGTCCTCTGAGAAAGTGAGTGAACAACTGACTCTCTTGCTGTGTGTGAATATGGAACCTAGCACAATAGGCCCTGTACAGACTTACAGTAAGGGACAGCCCCAGGGAGCTCCCAATCAAAAGAGACCAGGCAGACAAAGGTCTGAAGGAGAAACAGAGGGGTGAAGCGACTGGCCTGTGGTTACAAAGTCAGTGTCAGAGCTGGAATTAGAACCCAGGTCACGTGAGTCCCAGTCCAGTGCCCTATCCTCCAGACTGCAGTGCCTCTTCAAGTGTGAGCACAGGACTTAAAAACCCTTCAATTTACTCCCAGCAAACCCCCCTCTATTAGTCACAGATTGCCTGAGTGCACACAACCCCCTCCCAACCCGATGTTTTTAAAAGCAGACAAAGCCTTCCAATATTTTCTGATGAAGAGCACGTTTCGTGTGTGTGTGCAGCCTGAGGGTTTGGTGCCATCGAGTCCGTGGGGGCTAGAGTCTGTACACAGTTTGCTGCAAATTTACAGAGGCAGCGGTTAGCTGAACTCCACGTGGCCACACTGACCCCTGCCGGCTTGTCAGGACTCTGCTGGCTGTAAGCTGCTCTTTGGAGCACGGCCACTGCTTTTCAGGGCTCTGCATTCAGTCTAGCCTGCTTTTGTACCGAACATGAACAGCAGCACCATCAACCCCCCGGCCCTGGTATCTATTAACCCTGTGAAATCTGGCAGGGCAAGTAAATGAGAACAGAATAATTATTTAGATTGGAAGCTCTTTGCGGGCAGAGACCATCTGTTTGTTCTGTGTTTGTACAGTCCCTAGCACCCTGGGGTCCTGGTCCAGAATTCACTGTAGACAAAGGAGGTTTTGCTCCCCCAAGCTGCAATTTGTAATATAAAATGGAAAAAATAACATGGCCTTCCTGGCCCATAAACGTCAAACAAGGCTGACAAAGAAGGAAACAAGGAACTCCAGTCCAGAATCTGATTGTTTATTCATTATTGGTATCATGGTAATGCCTAGAGGCTCTCCATTTGTGCTGGGTGCTGTACAAACAAGAGACAGTTCCTGCCTCAGAGGCTTTATAGATCTCAGGGCTCATCTGTCCATGAGCAATTCCGGAGTAAGAGTGCCTGTCTCCAAATTAGTTTAATCCACTTTAGAAGTGGATTAAGATAAACCAGAAAAAGGCACTGATTCCAGAATAAGAACATCCACACAGGGAGCTATTCCAAACTAGCGATTCCATTTTCAGTTCACATCCTGCCTTATTCTGGAATAACTTTCATGTGTACATAAGCCCTACAAAGATAAAACAGCAAAGCGTGGGAGAAAGGCAGGGTTCTACTTCTACAAACAGGGAACAGAGACTCAGACAAAGTGATTTGACCTCCGCCCCAGGTCACAAGGGGAATCTGAGGCAGAGTTGGGATCTCAACCCCTCTCTCCCGGCTCCCAGCCCAGTGCCTTAGCCACAAACTCATCCTTCACTTGCCACTCGCCTGCTTCTTTTCCTTGTGAGAGGCCAGCCTTTGGGGCTGAACCCTAGGCTGAGTGCCCCTGTGAAACCGGCAGGAGCCGAGTAAATTCTAGAGCGACCATGGAGCCTCAAAACCCAGGAACCCCCCACACCTCCGCTGGCATGGTCCCAGCTCAGCTTAGCCCCAGCAGCCCCTGGCCTTCTGCAGATCCAGAGGCAGGGCCAGTCAGGCTATGAACAAACCCTCAAGGCTACTAAGGGCAGTAGCCTCCCAAAAAACTACAATTCCCAGGAGCCTTGGCGGCCCCTTCCTCCCTGCTCTAGTAAGGAGAAAATGGAGTGAATTGGGCATTGTGGGGCAGGCTGGTTCCCCTCTGGTAAGGGGCTTTGCACCTACCTCAGCCATCTCAGCTCAGCCCCTGCTGTGCAAGGTGGGAGCAGCCTGGCTCCTGGCCCTTTGTGCCTCCTCCCTCCTGGCCACCCAGCACAGACCCTCAGAAGCAGCTGCAAATTCTCCCAGCGCAGGCTCTGTCTTCTCTGCTGAAAGGGGGCCGGGCAGAGCCAGTGTTAAAGGGGCAGGTGCAAAACTCCAGGGGAGTGAACAACTGACACAAACACAGACAACTGAGCAACTCATTCACCCTGCAGGCAGGAACAGAATTCAAGGGGCCTGCTCGGGTGCACAAGGATTAATCCCTTAAGTGTTGGAGCTGCAATTAGTAAACCAGCATTTAATGACTACACTGAATTAAACATCCAGCCTTTTCAACCACTCTGAATATTGTAACATGCTCTGGAAGTGCCAAGAGTTGTTACTGATTTAAAATCACATTGTTTTAGTGCGGACGTGTTGCCTAGTGGTTGGACAGGCTCTCAGGCGCACTGCCTCACTGCATGACTTTGGGCCGCTCTCTCCTATAACAAAATGCAAATAAACTAACCCGCTTCACAGGGGCAAAGGAAATAGTTATCTCTGAAGATTCAAAGTGCCAAGTATTATTCATATAAGGGATGGGGGGAAACAGAGGGAGAAAAGCAAAATATACAATAGCACTAGAAATTCCAATTTAGACTTTTCAGCAGTTTTGCTTCAGACAACAGTGGATTTGTTTCCCAACTAGACTTCTCCATCATGCAGATAAATACATCCCTTTCCAGGGTGTTCTTAAAATAGGTCATTCAAATCCAATCCAATACATGGACAGCGTGGAAGACCCTACAGAAACATTGCTGTGGATCTTGCAGGAGTGAGCCCCTTTGAGCAGGGATCACCTTTCTGTTCTGTGTTTGTACAGCGCCTAGCACAGTGGAGTTTTGGTCTGTGACTAAATAATAACAAACAACTTGTGGCCTGATTTTCAGAGGTGTTTATCCCCCATTGGCTGTGAATCCTCGGCAGCTCTCCAGCCTTCTCCCCCTTGTTCGTTGCTACCTTAGGTGAACAGTATCATTTAAAGAGCGGGTTCCCTATATCGCTCCCTTGCCACATGGCCCATTGAGTAGTGTAATCCCATTGTCCTTAATTAGTGTATAAACGGACCGGTAAGAGAGACTTCTTAAAGATAAGTTTGCAAGTTCATGATTACCAAAACAGCACCGAGCTCGCAGTGCTCAAGGAGAGGTATATATATTATTACATTCATTTCTAAAGCATCTGTCACAATGGAATCTCAAAAAGAAAAGGAGGACTTGTGGCACCTTAGAGACTAACCAATTTATTTGAGCATAAGCTTTCGTGAGCTACAGCTCACTTCATCGGATGCATACTGTGGAAAATACAGAAGATGTTTTTATACACACAGACCATGAAAAAAATGGGTGTTTATCACAACAAAAGGTTTTCTCTCCCCCCACCCCACTCTCCTGCTGGTAATAGCTTATCTAAAGTGATCACTCTCCTTACAATGTGTATGATAATCAAGATGGGCCATTTCCAGCACAAATCCAGGTTTTCTCCCTACTTGTGGCACCTTAGAGACTAACCTGGAGAGAAAACCTTTTGTTGTGATAAACACCCATTTTTTTCATGGTCTGTGTGTATATAAATCTCCTCACTGTATTTTCCACTGAATGCATCCGATGAAGTGAGCTGTAGCTCACGAAAGCTTATGCTCAAATAAATTGGTTAGTCTCTAAGGTGCCACAAGTACTCCTTTTCTTTTTGTAAGCATGAAGACACTCCTAGCCTTCCACCCAGAGCTGTTTGGTGGCTAAATTAACATTTCTAAAGTACTATGAGAGCTTCAGATGAATGGCACCGAGTTCATGAATATATGTGAGGTGCTCACATACTCTGGCAAGGCCATATAAGAACCTAAAGAGACAGATATTTAAGCGCAGATAAGGACTCGGGTTCTCTTTATTACACTTCAGCAAGAAAGGCCACTACACCTCAGGGCCTAGTCCGTTTTCTTCCTCCCTCCCCCAGAATAAAGGGTGTCAATCCATCTTTCCCAAAGACAATCTGATGGGACCATTCTGCTGCAAGACGCATCACTGAAATAACATTGTGCATTAGGTCATCCTGCTAGCCTTTTAGTTTTTACTGTGGTTGATTTTAACATCCCATAATAAAATTACTAAGCACCTCGACAGTGTTTGCCAAGTGGCTCTAGGAACACTCTTCAGACTTAGGACTCATCTCCTCAGCACTTTACAAACTTTAATTAATCCTCAGAACACCCCATGAGGAACGGAATTAGATTTCCTAATCCCCATTTTGCACCAGGGGACAATTGAGGTAGAAAGGTGAAGTGATTTGCCCAACACCATGTAGCAACTGTGGCAGAGCCCAAATTAGAACTCAGGAGCACTTGGGCACCAGCCCAGCGTTCGAGACATGCCCAGGGCAGCACAGGAAAGCAGTGCGTGTTGCTGATGGATTATGAAAGGATGGAAGTTTGTGCATGACCTGGAGAGGTTGTGTCCAGGACAGCGCAACTACTTTCTGGCTACCCCCATCATGCCTGGTGCAGACCACAATGGAGATCTTAGCCGTGGCTGACTAAACATCATCCCTCTAGCTTGTATGTGCACACACCCATCCTGCCAGAAGGCCCTGGTGCAGAACCAAGGTAGACTAACTGCAGTTCCAGTGCCTGTAAAGCAGAAACCTCTGGTTTGTCACTCACCCATTTGCTGGTTCTTGTGGCTGGAATGGAGATGAGGGAAGGCAGAGTAGGGGTCTACAGCCTGACTGCAGCAGCCCCTTGGCAGGAAGCGTGCAAAATCCTTCTCAGATAATTACAGCCAAACAACCCACGCCACAGGCTGCACTTTCCCTACAAGAAAGTGCCTTCTACAGACCAAACATTCATCCTCAGAGGAATCAGACCCCAAGTACCAGCCACCTCTGGCAGATGATTTACCAAGCTGCCTAAAGTTAATAGTGGATGCAAGAAAGAAACCAAGGTGGGGAAACAAGAGGCAGAACAGCCACCCTGCTAAGCAGCAGAGAGGTCTGGGGGCATAATTCCCTGCTACAGAATCTCACTGGCTATGCAAGCTCCAATTCCATTAAGAGCCCAGCTCGGCAGCTGGTACGAGTCAATCTCTCTCCATTCAGCCATGCTGATTTATACCACCTGAGGAACTAACCTTAATATATGCAGATAGCAGATGAGAACAGAAAAACACTGCTAAAACTCACTAATTTAGTGCTTTCCCCCTCTGGGCCCAAACAAGTTAATGAAGACCTACTGGTTCCAGGCGTGGAACAAGAGAACAAAGCAGGATTCCTAGTGTCATTTAAGAAATAAGGCTGGTTTTAAAATCACCACTACATGCTACAGTGAGAACATGAAGATTCCAGCTATAAAAAACAACTCCCATGTGACTGGTCAAAGATGAAGCTGCACAGTACAAAGACAGGAATAAACCAGAGGCCAAGGCTTCCCTGATCTTGAATTTATTTAAAAATAAAAAAACACAAAGTTGAAAGGGGGAGAGAAATGGCAAAGTCTTTCTCTGCCAAGTGCAGAGCAGAGGGAACTCTGTTGATCAGGTTGTTCCCTTGCCTCCAGACTCCGAGGACCTTCCCCCACCTTCTCCCTCTGTGTGGTGGTTTTGAGACTCTGTCTCTGCAGTCCTCTCCGGGAGCAGTTCCAAGGCATCCTCGCCAACCACACGTCTCACTTTCTCCCCTTTGGCTGCTAGGATTTCCTCAATGTTCCTGAATTACAAGTTAAAAAACACTAGTAACATTACAAAGGTGCCCATGAGACTAGATGTTAGATTTTGCAGCTGAGGCTTAGGGGCTCTCAGCTGCATTCTGTTTTCACCATTAGCAGGGATTCAAGTTCTGAAGATGAATATAACATTTTCTCCTAGCAGAGCGAGTCCAGGTGACTGTGGAGAAACTGGGATTACAGGCCTTTAGGGGCAACTTTCACCCAATATGATCACTAATTTGGCAACTGCACTTAAGACAGAGGTGGGATTTTCAAAGGAGTAGAAGGGAGTTGGAAGCCTTTGAAATTCAACAGGATTTGAGCACCTAACTCCTTTAGGCTCCTTTGAACATGCTAGCCAGAGACTAGCAATGATTTAATAAGGCCTGATGGAGAACAAAAGAATATCACATCCAGCAATAAGATTGCAACTAGAAACAGTGATAGAAAGTGCATGTTGCACAGATAACTGTTTTGGCTACATCCCACTTAGTGGGCCTCGGTTGGGCGATTCCATTATTTATACCACCCATCTGCAACGGGTCAGAAAACTCGGCCATGGGAGTGGAGTCTTCTTACATGCTTCAGAAAGTTGGCTGAATCAGAGATTATCCCCTGCAATAACTCTCCTGAGCATTTAAACCACCACTTACAAAGCCTACAAGAAACAGAAGTCCAGTGTACCAGCTAAACCGGACTGGGGTACATTTTGATGGCCTTTCAGGGGGGAGAAGGCGGAAGGTTGCTGTCACTGACACACTTACCTTTTCCCCTCCAAATCTGAAAACCATCCCAGGTTATCTGCTATGACGTGATGATTCTTGCAACCAGGACACTTTACTATCACCACGCCATTATGATACGCTAGTTTGGAAATCGTTTTTGCTGACCGTGTTTTGCAGACCTAAAAAGTAAACAAAGTTTATTTCATGACCAAGATGCTTACATTTTATAGGCTTATTTTGTAAAAAGGCACAACTCTATTACTACCCAACAAAACCAGAGACACCGTTTATCTCAGTAAAAAGGACTTGTTTTCCCCCATCCATAACATTTCTTCAACTAAAGCGGTCATGCAGCCCCACAAGATGATCTACCCAGCTGTATGCTCCCTTCCTATACCATTTGAACTTGGGCCAATGGAAAGAACACTGTCTCAAATGCATTCTGATTTCTGAGACTTACTGATCTTTCCTTACCCTCTTGCTGAAAGACTAATTAAAAAACCACACTGGTTTGGATTCCTAAACGTAAACTAGAATACAAATCAGTTTCTCAAACCTGATATTCTTGGTTGTTTAGGTATCATGGATTGTACTGGTTTGTGTTTTTAAACCTCAGGAAAGACTCCTGTGTATTTAAGTTTATTTTGGATATGATTTAAAGGTTTGAATTTTACTATGAAAGCACAGATGGCAAATAATCAAAACATTATTATGAACTAAAACAACCCCGATGCGGATTAAAAAATATTCACCCAAAACGTGACATCTCACGTTAGCTTTGAGTAAGACATTCAAGGGGTTAAATGAAACACGCACACTTTATTAATACTAAAAGAAGAGCTAAAAGGGGGAAGCAGTTTTAGTGGGCACTAGCCTTAGTCGCCTTCCCTTTTGCAATAGGGGCTGCGGGGCTACAAAACATGGTTTCATGGGGTTTAAGAGCCTCCTCGTTTGCAAGCGTGCGGCAACTCCCAGCCCCAAAACAACACAGCTGCCCCCCAAAAGATAACAGCGATATGCCCAGCTACCTTGTCCCGAGTCCTCAGCCCTCAATCACTGGGGTACCCCTCGCACCCAACTCTCAGGGCCCCCCATCACCCATCCACCCCAGCCTCCTCTCCCCTTCCTCAGGGGCCCCCAGGCCCCCATCCCCCACGACTCCCCACGGCCCCCCCACCTGGCAGGTGTACACCAGCCGGTAGTGCGCGGCCTCCACCCGCCCCACGGCGCCGCCCGGCCCGGGGGCGCTGCAGAGCCCGCGAGGCCAGGCGGGCTCCGGGCAGCAGGGGCGCGGCCCTGGGGCGGCCCGAGCCCTGGGACGGGACGGCGGGGCCCACCGCCACACAGACCCCAGCCGGGCCCCGAGCCTCCGCCCGGCCCGCAGCATCCCGCCCGCTCCGGCTGCCGGATGGGGCGGCCGCCGACGCTCCGGCCGCCATCTTAGGTGTGGGCAGCGAGCCTGGCTCCCCGCCCCCGCTGGGCCCGGGATATGGGGGCCCTCGTGCACCCAATCCACCGGGGTACTGGGGGGGGGTCCCCACGCACTGGGCTACGGGGGGAGCCCGTCCTGCCCCCCTCCGGGCTACTAGGGGGGCGGGCTTTTCTATTTGCAAAATCAGAAGTAGGGCCCCTCCCCAACATCCCCGAGCTGGGTGCCCGGGGGGAGCCCTGCTCCTAGACCCCAAAATCATACACAGGAGACTCCTGTCCCTGCCCCCCACTGCAGGCCCTGCCCATTCTCCCCCTCCCACTGAACTGGGGGGGGGGGTCTCCCCTACTCCTCTAGACCCTATAGCCTTAAATCAACATACAAGGTCCCCATTCCCCCAGAAAAATCCATCTGATTGAGGGATGGGGGAAGGAGGGATCCCTTCTGAGTCGTAGGTGCTCTGTCCCCCACCAATGGTGGCTGGGCCATCGAGTGGCACACCTACCCCACTGTCCCCATGCCAAGTAAAGAGGCACCCTTGCTAGCCAGCCGGGGCTCTGGCCACGCAGAGCAGGGACCCAGGTTTGCGCTGAGCCTGCTATCTACCACTAAAGGAGGAAGCCAGGGTCCAGTAAGGTCTCACATCCCACTTGTCAGAGTAGTGTGAGAAACCTTAGCAACCGCTGGCTGACTGAATAGGCAAGAGAAATAAAAACCTGTTACATGGTGAAGCTATATAAGTCCACTTGCAGGTGGGCAGAAGGACAGCAGATCACGTGCAAAGAGAGTGTGTTCTCTTCTTTGCTATTAGCATTGGACATCTACCCCTATAAACCACCAGTCAGGGTCACTATCCACACACTAGTGCTCTCTCTTTTTGATATTACACAGAGCCTTAGAAGCCCTTAACATAACAACTGCTATATATTCAAAAATGCTATTCAAGAGAGTGGAGCTAAATTAGTTTTGGTCAAACCTATGCTATTGGGTGTTTGCTTTTATATTTACTAGTGATATAGGGGCAGGCCCTTTGCACCCTGCTGGATATGGTTAGTTTTCTGGTTTAGGCCCTTCCGGTGTTGGAGTACCCGGCCATGACACCTGCATAGAGCTCCACCCGAGGCCTGCTCACACAGCTGGAGTTACAAGAGCACAGTGTTGCCATTCCAAACATGCTTAACACCCCAGCTCTTCCGGTTTCATTTAAAACATAAAACAAGACAGTAAAGTTCTAGCCCTCATAGGTATGGAAGAAAAAACAACCTGAATGCAGGAAACAAATAATAAAATAAAAGGAATCCATTTATTAAAGTCTCATGATTTTGTTTGGTGGTGAGCAGGGGATGGCTCGTTATTTTTTAACAGAGGGGGCTAGCAACTGTGGAATTGAGGCATTAATTGGTATTATATTCTCCCTTATTTAGTTATTTTTCTGGAAATCATAAGAAAGATTTTCTTAAGCTAGTAGGTTGGATATGGACACAAAGGGTTTTTCATATCCCATTGTTGTGTGCTGTTGCCATAGCAACAACTTTTAGCATACCTTACATTTTTAGCACACCACTTAAGCCCATTTTTGAAGCAAATAAAGTATATTTTTTACTTGGACTGTTTTTTGCACAGAATACTACAATGCACTAACATAGCACCATGATTGTAAGAATTTCTGCTACAGCAATTGTGGTACGAGTCTAAATGAATTAAACTCCTTGTGGAAGGACATCATCATCATCCCCATTAAATATATAAAAGAATTAGGGTTCTGAATCAGAGATGTCAACCAGTTAGGTGACTAGGCCAAGGTCGCATAGGAGTGCTATGGCAGAGGCAGAAATATAGTCCAGATCTCCTGCATCCCAGTCCAGTGCCTTCGACTTGGTAAATGTTCATGGTGGTTGTTTAGAAAAAGTTTTAAATGTCAATCAGCTTGGATGGGCAGAAGGGAAGATTCTTGCACTACATCCCCAGCAAACTTTTTGTAATTTCCGTTGCGGTTGGGCTGATGCTATTAGGAGCCTTCAGTATCTGTGTTGTCACTACCAGTGTTGTTTTCCCAATCCACTTCATGGTGTCTGCCCTTCTGCACCCTTCGCAATGCCCTCTTCCTGTAAGTTAGGTTAAACATTTAGGAGAAAAAAAATGCCATGAGGAACAAGCTTCTCAATTACACATAAACCAGCAAACTCAAAAAACTCAATTAGTACCCAGTCAAACACTGGCCAAAGTAAAAATTAAGAAGGCCTATCTACATTCATGCATCGGGAAACAAAGTAATCACCTGCTGAAGGTCAGGAAGAAGTCTCCTTCCATGATAACAGTATCACACACGCCTGTACCTTCTGGGGAGCACTGGCTAAATCAACATTGTTCATTGGGGCAACTTTGTCAAATAAATTATCCACAATTGCTATTAGTATTCTGGGTTTTCTCCAGCATCCAATATAGACTGTGATCAGAAGCAGTTTATTGGATTTAGTCTAGAGCAGTAAAGCCAGTCCTATATTCCTCTAAGTACAGTACAACTGAACGCGAGAATTTCCAGACTCTCAGTTCCTTCTTGAATACAAATATTACGTAAGAGCCCAGCACACTACCACTTACAGAAACAATACAACATGGTTTTAGATGTTCCTGCTCCAGTATTTAGCTCTTTTGGATCATTTCTATTTAGTGTGCAAATTAAGATCCGTATTTTACAAGATGCTCGGCCCTTTCAGAATTATTGCAAGCTGCGGAGTGCCTCCATCTCCGTCTTTGGGGATTGAAACAGCTCAAACCTGCCCCGAGTCTCATTAATAGGAACTTGGTCTTTGGTGTCAGCAGCAGCAGGATGGAACCCTGCGCTAGTAAAATAGATCAAACTTACCAAGCCAGCAGTTCCCAAAGCATGGTGCCCCCAGGACTGCAGAGTGCCATTAAAAGTCTGGGGTGGGAGGCATAGATGTGTCCCTGCCACCTGACCCTCATTTTCTCCTCTCAGGAACCCCTTATCCCCACCAGCAGCCTGACCCCCATGGCCCATGAGCCCCTGCATAGACCCCCTACAAATCTGAGTGAGTGGCATTGTGATCCAGTGCCCATGACCCAGGTGACCACCTCCAGCTTATGTCCTCTGGGTACCCCTCTGTTAAACTACTGTGGAAATGGCATGAAGCAGCCTATGACACAGGCCATGTTATACATTTGTGTCTGAAAACATCCACACTTGTTTCAGTGCAATGCAACGGCTTCCATTTTGGCCAACATGCTCGGTACATCTGGACTAAATGCACGAGTCCCTACAGCTTGAGCTAGAAAAGGAGGCAGTAACAAACTCTCATCCTCTGTGGATCAGGCACAACAGGGGACATGACACACAGTGACCAGTAGGTTATGCAAACAAATATGGCAAGAGCAGTCCTGAGAGCACAGGCCACACCTCCGATAGTGTTCAAAGCTGTCCTTCATCCGCCGCCGCTCCTTCTCAGCCAGCTCTCCATTGGGTGGGCCACCCTCCTGGAAAGGAAAAGAAAGGCCTGGTCTAGTTGAAGCTTGGGGACGGGCTGGGGATGGGGCCAGCCTTGCTCTACAGAGAGGCCAGGAATTACGTGGGCAACGAGACTCAACTTCTGGAGTTGGCCTCTGAAGGACAAAGGAGAGGCACAATGGGCAGGGCAGTGGAGGGGGTGTGGAGAACATGGACAGCCGCTGTCCATGCAGTGCCGCGATGTGTGCTCCCAGTGGTTTCCATGAGCGCTCAATTCACTCAAAAATGAGCCTGTACCAGTGAATGGGCGGAGAGCAACTTCATGGCCAAATGCATTCTCTGGGTGCTGCTGCCCTTCAGAAAGCACTCGAGCTTTGTGCTGGCAGCTTCTGACATCCACAAGTCCCAGGGAACATTACAGCCTCCTGCATTCACTCCTGGCCCTATTATCCTGTGCATGGCTGAGTCAGGCTCCGGCCCTGGCTCACACTTAAAACTCTATGGCCTCATTCTGAAGGCGTCTGATGGACTGAAGATCCATGCCACCACCGTTCCCTCCCCAACTGCTGAACTGCCCTCATCTCTCCTGAGCAGGCTGGTTCTTCATAGCACCCACTGTGTGTTGTATAGGAGCCCGCTCCTGCATTGTTTACGGATTAGTGTTCATGCTACCGATCCCACCAAAGGCAATGGAGCTACTTGCCCTAGTGAGGGCTTGGAGGGTGAAGCCCTAAACACCAGAATCAGAAGATAAACCACTTAAGATCTCCTTTTGCAATGACAGCAGAGCTCCTGGGGCACAGAAGGGATGTCCACATTCATCCATTTGTAAAGCCGGAGGTTCACACTCTCTTCCCAGCAGCGTGAGTAGAAACAGCAATATTACTTTGGAGACCTTTTAATCACAAACACCAGTGCCCAGACAACACAAACGCTGAACATTAATTAGCTACAGCAGGTTTGGGGAGCAGGGGGAGAAATGAGCAGTGGCTGAAACACGATGTTAGGAGAAAAAGGAGAAGCCGAGAGATATTTGCAAGGGCTGACGTAGATGAGAAAGGAAAAACACTCCCGTTGATAGGAAATTGCTTAAAAACCCAAATAGTGTTGCCAGTGCTAATTCTAGAAAATCAGAGGCTCGATATCGTCCCTTAAATTTAATGTGGATTATTCCTGAATTAGATCCAGCAAATCCTATTCAACAAGACACCCACAGAGTCTAAGCTCTGTGGGACAGGGGCAAGCGGTTACTATGTGTTGCATGAGGCGCTGTACAGGCAAAGGTCCTGATCCGGCACTACAGCAATATAGATGATCGACGACGACAACAACGGGAGTTCAGGTTATGCAAAGAAGGCAGGACCAGCCACTACATCCGAACATTAAGGTCAAGTGGATGAGAGAAACACCAACAACAGTCCCAAAAGTGCCCTGCTGGAGATGGCATCTGTAGGCTGCCCATTCTTGTAACAGGAGTTGAAAGCAGTACATTCCTGACTGACAGTGCGGCAGCGGATGTGTTGATTGGCAGATTCCATTCCCACCCATACCACTCCCGAAGAGATGTAAGGGACACTGATGCCCTGCTGTTATTTGAAGGATGAATTTGGTCATGAGAATACAAAACTCTCCCTGCGAAAGTGCCAGGTACCTCCAAACTGGGCAAGCCTATCGCAAATGCAAATGTTATTCGCCGTGAGCGAGGTCGCAAGAAGCGGAGGGTTCACAAAGACACTTACGTTTGACGACTGCAGGCACTGAATGCTCTCTAACGCACTGAGCTGCTGATCCTGATTTTCAGGGAGATCTTCTAAGAGAGAAGGAAAAACTGCAAGTGTAGTCGCAAACTGGTGTTATTTATTATCTGTTACATTAGCACTTGGGGCCCTGCTGTTCTAGAAGCAGATCCAGCCCCAAAGAGCTTTCCATCTGATAGAGACAAGGCAGACAAAGGAAGGATTCTCCCTTTGTACAAACAGGGAGCGGAGGCGCAGAGAGATGAAGTGATTTGCCCAAGACTACCCAGGGATTGCGTGGCAGAGCCAGGAATTGATCCCTGATCTCCCAAGTCCCCATCCAGGGCCTTCACCACAAGCCAATCCTTCTTCACATCATTGGTTTGTGGTTTTACAACCTTGAAATAGAACAAATTGCTTGCAAACGTTGTGCATTTCATACCACAGGTGTCCCAAAGCGCTTTGCAGAATTAACGAGTGAGACAGCGAGAACACAGTAACCGATGCAGGTGAAGGGCGATGGCCATTGTGTCACTGGCAATAGCTCACACCTAGCGTAGGAGATTATTGCTTGGTACATGCAGAGTGTGCCACGTTTTCAAGGTGCTGCATATACATTAAGCCAGTCTTCCAACCTCTTTGGAATGTAATCTGCATTACTGTCCCCAACTGACAGATGGGTGGGGAAAAGGAGACAGAATTGAAGTGACTCGCCCAAAACTAAACAGCAAATCAGTGGCAGAGTGAAAACCAGACCTCAGGAGGTCCTGGATTTCAGTCCTGCCCTCAGTCCACTAGAGCAAGCTGCCATTTTACTAGCCATTGGAATCTTGCTCAGGACAGTGGGGTTTTTCCCTAACTTTTCAAAAAGATGTGGGATCTTTGCTATCTGGGACCTCAACAAAGCAGCCCCTTAGGTTGTTCTCTAATGAAGACAAGTTGAGAGGTCACATTACCTAACATGATATTAAACATGAACTTGTCACTGTTCACACTAGCTAAGTCATGTTTAATATCATGTTAGTTAGAACACACTCGAGGGTTGTGTTAACACAGCCTAGTTTTCTAGCAAGGGCAACCCTATATAGAATTGTGCAGTTCACACTATAATTTCATCATGTGAGTGCAGAACTTGAACTCACAGCAATCCATCCAGGAGCAGAGATCGCTACCAACCTGGAATGGTACTTAAAGTCAGATCAGGGTTTCTCAAGCTTTTGAGTGAACTGCCTTCTCAAAATGGGTGAAAAAAATATTCAGGCCCCTCAGAAGTTAAAACAGGAAGACGCTCCCATGCTGGCAGTTTCCTTCTCTATACTTTTTTAGATAGAGCTTTTTGGAAGTGTAGTTCAAACCCTCAGCATAGCCTGTCAAGTCTTCCTCAGTGATGAGTCATTTCCACTTGGGACTCCACAAAAGCAGAACCGGGGATAGTGTTCATTAGCTAGTTCTGCTTTTGTCAAAACCAAGTGAAAATAACTTAATTTAAGGAAAAAAGCAACCCAACAAAGAGCATGGAGAAAGGTGCACGTGGAGTCAGGACACCTGGGTTTTGTTCTCAGATCTGTCCTGACTAGCAGAGAGAGCCCAGGAGAGTCATGTAGTGTTTGATTTTCATAGATGCCAAGTGCCCGCAGTACTCCTTAACTTCACTGGGGACAGAGAGTCCTCCACATCTTTGAGAAGTCAGGCCCCGCACATCTCCAAGCTTTCCTAGGGGCATCAATACACTGGCAATCTCTTATTAATGAGACTTTTGGACCAAATGGAACAGTACTGCCTAGTGCTGTTATACTGAGCTAGTCCAATATATTCCTTCCAGAATGCAGCCACTGGAGGATCCTCCCACATCACATGTAATGAAGAGAAGAATGAAGGTAAAAGGCTCTAAGTGCTCAGCAAGGGGCTTCACAGACATTTCTTTTGGGAGATGACCAGGGGTTCCAGACACCTCCATTTTGGGGTACAAAGTTGAGACACCTTCTGTGGGTTGACTTTCACGAAGTGCTGAGAACCCACCCTGGGAGAATCAGATCCTTTAAGCATGTCCCAAATTGGGGCCCCAAAAAACATTACTTTTGAGAATTCAGGCCCCAGTGATGCCCCAAGACCACACAGCAGAGCCAGTGGCAGAACCCAGGAGTTCCCAACTCCCAGCTGCCTGCTTTAACCACCAGGCATATGGTCTCAGGAATACTGCTCCAATGTCTCCAAGCAGAAATTAAACAAAAAGTCTTACTTTTATCAGACAGCTGCGTGTCCTCATCTAGGTTTCCATGGAAAGAGAGCTTTGGGACAAAAAGAAATATGTCTAATCTGGGGAAATAGCAATACTCATTTTCCTCTCCTCATCTCCCACAAAAAAGACAAATAATAAAAACAAACAGAGCCCCAGGATTCCACAAGTTTCTCTTTCCAGTCTAGCGAGAGTTGCAAGGCAGCCGACCCATCCTACCCAATATCACCTTAGTGACATGCCTGTAGATACAAGTGCTATGCATGAATGAAGCCAATTCTCCAGTGAAAACACTACCCCACACCATAGGATAATACTTCTATTGTGTGTATGGCACCTTTTGTCCGACATCAGGCTCATCACCTACCGCTGAATGCGGCTGCCTCATGGCAGCTGAAGCAATCTGGCCATGCTAAGGACCATGCTGGAAAGGCTGTCTCAATGCATCCTCAGAGACTTGTGTCATCTGCTCAGAGTCAGTGGGGCTCCCCACACGATTCAGGGCTGCAGAACTGGGCCTTTTATTTGTATCCCAAGCATTTAAAGTTACACTCACAGAGCTACAAATCTTGGCCCAGAATCTGAGCTGCAGCCCAGATGTGCTTGGATGAGTCTCAGGATGGGTGCACACATCCTCTCAAACCTGATGCCACCCAGCCACCGGGCTGGTCTCCAGTATAAAAGCAGAGCAGCCTTGGTACTACTCTAATCCTGGTTCCTGCTCACAGGGATGGCTGGAGCATTGCCCTCGCCACGCCGCTCTCTCCCCCAGATACACACACTCTTCTGGCAGCTGCAAAGGGGGAAGACCTGCTATGGCAGGATCTACACCTCCTAGAGGTTTGTCTGCACGGGGGCATCCTCCATTGGCTGGTTACGCTGGGGTGGTTTTTTCCAGGTGCTTCGTGCCACTCGAGCACAAACAGAAGCTGGCTGCAGGTTATCTGCTAAGGAGCCTTTGAGCAGAGCTGGGGAACCCAAAGACCTTCCATAAGGAGGTCAGACTAAAGCCAGCTAGCCACCTTCCTCACCTCTTGGGAGCTCCTGGGCGAGGTGTCATCTAGGTCAGAAGTCTGGAATTGTAAGAAAACAAGCCAGTCAGGGATCTGTATGCAGACCACACTCCACAGTGAGACAGCAGCAACGATGGCACGTAAAACTGAACGAAAGCTAGGAACAAAGACGCAGGGATTTCCTCCCTCTTACCTGCCCCTACTGGCTCAAACAGAAGGCACCCACGAGACTAGGATATTAGGGCATTGTTTTCATTCTGGGTTTAGGAACAGTTATGGTACATCTTCCCCCGCCCCCACCCCGATTTCACCCCAATGGCTCAAGACTTGTCCTTCCTGGGCTTCAGTCACCAGCAGTTGGCCTTGATGCAACAGGGGCAGCCCCAAATGCAAACAAGGAAGGGATGCGTTTGCACTGTCGGAGATTACTTATGCTGGAAACCAGGGTGAGCTCTACTGTGGCGAATTCCAGCTTCCCTTGTCTAAGCACAGCCATTAATTGCTGAATCGAGGCTGATCCCAACTACAGACAGTGTCAGTGTATGAAGTCAGTGGAACACCCACAGCCAGGGCTCACCGGCCTCTTCCCCTGCCCATAGCACAGTACCTGCATGTAGCTGTGTATTCCTGCAGACATACCAGCGTGGGTGGCTCCAGGTGCAACTTTTTCAGCTTGGCCTCAGCAGCTAGTAACTGGCCCTCCTTCTGGAACAGCTGTAGCTGCATCTCATCGCACCTCTCCCCCAGCTCCCGGATCTCTTTGCGGTATGCGTCTTTGTCGACCAGGCTCTTGGAGTATTGCATGTGGAACTGTTCTCGGGTCAGCAGCGCCTGGTGCAGAAAGCGGGAGGGCAAAGCGTGTCACTGACCTGGTGCCTGAGCTTACACCTTCCATTATCTTTGGTAGCTGTGCTCCAAACAGTAGGTTTTATCACCTGATCTCTTTCTGCAGCCACTTCTTCTATCTGCTTCAAGATGGCCTCGATGCGATCCTTGTACATCCAGGAGTCCTTCCTCAGGGACATGCACTGCAGCTCCAGCACCTCCTTCTCCTCCGCGTGCTGCAAGGAAAGCACAGAAGCTCACTTCACTCTTGAAACACCCGTGGCTTGTAGTGTAAACAGGCAAAGGAGATGTGTGGCCGATGTAAGCACTTTGCAAACAGTAACTGATCAGTTCTCCTGGTGATCCAGGTGGATCAGTGTCATCAACCCCATCTTATACGTGAGGCAGAGAGGGGCCAAGTCTTTCCCAACACAGAGAGTCAGTACCAGAGCAGAGGAGTACCCATCAGAGCATGTCTCTCATTAAACTGCTGCAACATTTGATCTGAGCCAGAAGCCAAGCTGCAGCGCTAGTTGCCCAGGTGCTGCTCTGCTCCACAGGGAAGAGTGGCTTTCATGGCACACACGTTCCCATGCTGAGTTTACTCCATCTCTCCCCGCTCCCACCAGACTTTGTACTTTGTCCCGGAGATCCTCCGCTTGCCGGAGTGCCTTGCGCAGGCTGTAGATGGTGTTCACCAGCTCCTGATGCTCCCCGAGTGCCCGTCTCCGATCAGCCTCCAGAGCCTGGACATAGAGGCTGTTCTTCTCCAAGTTCCCTTCCTTGGCGACCTCCAGGAGGAAGGGGCAGAGGGCTACAATGAGGGGTGGCCTAACTGGCTAGGAAAGCCAGGGGTCAGGAGGCACTGTCCCCTTCCTGAGCCTAACAGCACTAATGGCCAATTCTCACTGCCCTTCCACCACCCCCGTGGCCTCCACCCTGCCTCCAGGTTAAAGCAGAGATGAGCAACGCGCTCTCCGATGCAGCACCGGCCTGCCCTCATCTGTGAGATGGAGGGGAGTCGCCTGGAGAGCGAGAGTCCTAGCAAGTGCTGCTCTGAGCAACACAGGGCATTATGTGCCAGGATCTGTTCTTCCCACAGGCCGCTGTGCCCTCCATGTTACAGATGAAGGCGTCTGCGCTCTGCTCCATTTCCTGCCAGGCAGGTGTGATCCGCAGGCTCCCGTGCAGCCCTGCAGAACACAAAAAGTGCCAGGCATGATCAGTCCCCCCATCCAGCCTCGGATCTTGCTGTCATGGCAGCCAGTTTAGGGGAAGGTGCAGAGTGAGTTGGGCAAGTCTGGGGCCCTTGATTTAAACCCTTCTGAGCCTCAGGCCTAGCTGTTCTCTCCAATGCTGTACTCCTCTGCCACCATGGCTGCTCATATCTCTCCCCTCAGCCCATCTAGCTGCTGTCAACCTTTACACACCGTATAACCCCCCACCACCACCGCTCAGGGGGTCCCTCTGTCACAACGCACCCATGAGCACACTCCGCTCTAACCCATGGCTCTCACCCTGCCAAGCTCCCCGGCCTCACCAAGAGGGGGCCCTGACACCAACCCCCTTGGAGAAGCCTGCGTTAGCAAGGCAGACTTGCTACCCAAACCAGTCCCAGAGGCCCAACGCCCGCCCTCCTCAGACCTGGAGCGTGTTCTCCAGCTCTTGATTCTTGGCCAGCAGCAGCTCCTTCTCCCGCTGGATCTCCCACACCACTTCGTGGCTCGGCCGCTGCTCAATGGCGTGCTTCAGTTTCATCGTGTGCTTCCTCTCCAGTTTACAGTCGTCCTCGGCCTTCATTAGGCTGTGCCTCAGATGGTCAATCTGCAGGGGAGGAGGGGGGTTTGGAGCTGGTCAGGCCTCACCAGGAGGGATAGGTCAGTGGTTTGAGCATTGGCCTGCTAAACCCAGGGTTGTGAGCTCAATCCTTGAGGGGGGCCATTTAGGGATCGGGGGCAAAAATTGGGGATTGGTCCTGCTTCGAGCAGGGGGTTGGACTAGGTGACCTCCCGAGGTCCCTTCCAACCCTGATATTCTAGGACATCTTTGTAGTGGCATGGTTTTAGTCCCATCCTCCAGCAAGAAACACAAGGGGAATGCCTTCCCCACCCCTGGGAATGCAGCAGAGTCCTCTCTCTGCCCACAGCACATGGTACCTGCCTACCCACACGTAAGATACATGGCAGCAGCACTGCAATCTGTCCCCAACTGCTGCAACGTTTGATCTGAGCTAACAAGCCAAGTTTCAGGGACAGCCCTGCCAGGCTCTCCCATCCCTGCATAAAAGAGACCCTGTTCATTTTCTAGGGCCCACGCAGCCGCTAGCATCTGGGCTGATGGTGCTAATTTGCAAGCCTAACTGCATGATGCTGTCTGCATTGCGTTCACCCTTGTTGCCGTAGGGGGAAAGCCAGGCCTGCAGCACCAAGTGTCAAAAATCCCCTTTAATGCATTAGTCCTGCCCAGCACATTCAGGACTCCTGGCACACGGTGCAGAAGGGAGGCGCCCATCTGACTATAGCGTGCAGTCGCTAAGGCCCGACTGTGCTCAGCTCTCCAATCCCTGGTGGGGTGCACGAGGGAGGAAGGAGAGCAGGCAAGGCACCGACCTCTAGCTGCAAATCCCGGTTCTTCATCAGGGCTGTGTTCTTCTCCTCGCTCTGCTTGGCGTAGCTCATGGCCAGGTCGTAGTTCTCATCCTTACATTTCCGCAGCTCCTTGGCCAAGTTGTCCCTCTCCTCCTTCATCTTCTGGGCCCTCTCTTGGTGCTTCCGCAGCACACTGTCCCTCACCCGCATCTCCTTGATCGCATCCTCCTTGGCATGGAGCCACATGTTGAGCTCCTGAGCCTTCCTCCTCTCCTCCTGCACGGTGCTCTGCAGCTTCATGATCTCGTTCATCAGGAGCTGGCTCAGGCCCGATTCCCCCGCGGTGTCTGCGCAACAGAGACCCTCACACAACATGGTCCCCGCCCCACTTAGCTGGGGCCCAGTCCCCAGTCCCAGGCAGAAAGGTCCCTGATCATGAGTCAGGATCACAAAACCTCCAAACGAGTGCTGTCCAGTCCATGGCGCATGTACTCAACACCCACAGGTCAGTGCCACGGCAGCTTTTCTTCCCCCGGCCCTCGAGCCAGCCCCATGGCCAGCACGATCACACCCAGTACAGTCATGCTGACATACAGCTGGCCAGAGCCAGAATGAGCAATGACCCACCTCGCCCTGTACCATCAGTGGCCTGTGGACATGCCAGGTGCTCCAGAACAGTGCCTCAGGCTTCGGCCACTCTGGGAGCCATGTTCAGTGGGGGCACCTCCTGGTGATTTCATGGGGAATTCTGTCTCCTTACACCATGGCTGAACAGTCCATGAGGGGGAACCGGGCCATTATCTAGCACAGAGGTGGGCAAACTACAGCCTGCAGGCCACATCCGGCCCACGGAACCGTCCTGCCCGGCCCCTGACTTCCCAGCTGGGGAGGCTAGCCCCTGGCCCCTCCCCTACTGTTCCCCTCCCCCGCAGCCTCACGGTCTGGCCTGCTGCTCCTGCCGGGCAACCTGGCGGTGTGGCTGGCTCCGGCATGGTAAGGGGGTGGGGACGGTCAGGGAACGGGGGTGGGATGGGTCAGGTGTTCGGAGCGGGGGCAGTCAGGGAGCAGGAAGTGAAAGGGGGCGGATGGGGGTGGGGGCTGGCTGTTTGGGGAGAGACAGCCCACCCCTAATCTAGCATCTGCTCTTCCTTCTGATACAGGGAGCAGCACTGGCAGTCCCTGGGAGAGGGTGGTGATGTAGCTCCTAACACAGCATTGTGTTTTAGTCTCCAACCTACAATCTGATCTGGGTGGGGAGGCCCAGGGGTCCTTGGCTTCCACAGAGCTCTCCCCGCAGGAATCTGACTGCAGGATCGGGGCCTTAGTATTGGGCGGCTGCTCATGAAGGTTAGTCTGACCCTCGCTGAAGAGCTTTCTAGCCAGTGGCCCAGTCTGAAAGGCTGGCTGGGGCTCTGCCCACATGAGCCACCAGGGATTTAACTAGGTGTGGAATTTGAGGTCTCTTCTAGCTGCAAAGCAGCATCAAATAAAGAGACCATTGTGGGAATGAAGCAAAACGTTACCTATAATCATCGAAAAGACCCTGCTGGGCTCCTTGCCGGTTACTTTCATATATAACAGTGGGTAGTAAAGCTCTAGGCTCTCAAGAAAGGCCTCAAAACCTTTCTGGCCTGTCCTCTGAAGTATATCCAGGAGGACGCCTGCAATACAGAAACAAAGGCATTTACTGCAACATAGCATGTCAGAGTAACACACGTTCCCTGAACTTCCAGAGATGGCTGGTACTTGCGTTCCTCTGTAAGCAGGAGCAGACAAGAGTCCTTGGTGTCAAACCCTGCAGGCGTGGCCCAGGCAACTCTCTCACTGGCTTTAAGGGGCAATTTAACTGAGCAACAGCTGCAGGGTTTGCCCCTAGGCCCCTGCTCCTACTTTAGTGTTGCGAACAGCAGGTGCTGCAAGAGAAGCAATCCCTTGCTGAAGGCTAGGGAGGAGGAGGAGCAGGCAGGCTTGAATGAAACAGCCATGGCAGTTCCTATAACTCTGGGCAGCTTTGGTCTCAAATTCAAGAAGAGGCAATGGTTAGGTGGGCCCCACTTCTGGCACAGATGTCCTGATCCTGCAAGGGGCAAAGTACCTGCCATGAAGTGCTGGAGCCTCTGCTCCGCTCTTGAGGTCAGCGGGACCGAGCCTCCGTCTCCTGCTACAAGCGGGACCACAGTGAGAGCAAGAGAAGCAGGAAGTCTGTCACCAGCTTTTAAAGTTGGAATTCTAAAGTCTAATAGGACCAGAGACGCTTTCACAGTCAAGTCTCTCTCATTGCGTCATTCTGAAGTTAAACACTCCCTGCAATGCTGGAAACCTAAACAGCAGCAAAGCGTGTGCTAGTCAATATCCTGCAGAGAAGAATTCTACACTCAGCTGGACGGAGGCAAAGGAGGAGTCCACAATAAGCCTTTCCAATCTCGGCTCCTTACCATGGTGGCGAAGGAGAACTGGAAAGCGTAACTCACTATCCAAGGGAAAGCAACCGGCCTCACTTCATGGCCCACAATGTCTCAAACTCAACTGTTCTGAGACTGTAAACTCTTTGGGCAGGGGCTGTGTCTGCGCAGCACCTAATATAACAGGATCTCAATCCTGATTCAGTTGTTTAGATTGTAGTAGCCTCCAGAGGTCTAACAGTGATTCAGCATGACCTAGAAGCTAAGACACTGGGCTGAGACGCCAGAGCCCTCAATTCTGTTCCCATCTCTGGCCTGCTGGGTAACCCTGGGCAAGTCACTTCCCCTTTCCGTGCCTCAGTTTCCCCATATGTAAAATGGGGGTAACAATACTAAAGCACTGAGGTCTACTGATGAAAACAGTCACAAAAGAGCTAGGGGTTATTGTAAAATAGAATAAGTGGTGAAAATTACCTTTGATTTGTAATGTTCTCAGATTGAATAACCCCAGGGACTCCTAGTAATACAGGCTAATTTTTCTTTCTAATGTTGCCAGAGTCCCTCTGAACCTGAGATACAGGAATAGTTTATCCTAGATTCAGAGCTTTTTAAGGCCTGTAGGGATCACCGTGATCTTCTAGTTTGACCTCATCTATAACACCGACCAGAAAACTTCCCCAAAATAATTTCCTTTTGAACTAGAGTAGATCTTAAAATAAATCACTAAATAAAATCCAATCTTGATTTAAAAATTGCCAGTGATGGAAAATCCACCACGTTAGCTTGAAGAGAAGGAATTATTTACCTGTTTATTTGGATTTAGAGAAAACCATTCTCAAATGGCTGGGAAAAGATGCACCTTGAAAGCATGATTCCCAGAATTGCACTACATGGGTTGATGGTAACACCACATGGCCTGCAGAAGCAATTGACACCACGGCATTTTCATTCCAGTGTATCACCCCAGAGGCAGGCCACCCACACAATCACGTGGAGTCGGAAGCTGCTCAGTACCCACCTACTTTCCGTTTCCGGACGACCAGGCTGGGGTCGTTAAGCACTTGTTCTTCGTCATCATGGTTAATCACTTTGCACTGGCGGAGATAAGGCGTTATTCTGGAGGGGTCTATCACTGAGATCAGCTTCACCCGGAAGTTCTCCAAGTTATTCCAGCACATTTCATCATCTTCCTGCTCCGACATGGCGGAGAGCAAGAAATACTGGCAGGCCAGGTCTTCTTGTCTGAAAGCCACACCATAAGCCTCAGAGCAGCTCGGGATGAGCAGCAAGGATAGCAGGTGGCCCAACACCATCAACCTGAGGACTAGGAACACGCTCATTGACCATAAGGGATGACCACGTCTCCCACAGCAGCCTGTAACTCTGTACACAAAAAATACATGCACCCCCCCTTTGCATGAACAGATCGGGTCATGGGGCACTTCATGTACAGAAATGCCAGCTTGTGCAAGCACTACATCCCAAGCTCCTTCAGCAGCTGGCAGGGCTGGCACCACTGCTGAAGAGGTGATGAAATTCTGGCGAGTGCCCTTCAACCGGCCATCTCCCGAGTCATTACAGGAGGGAAGTGAAACCACTTAGCGTGCACCCTGGGTCAGTAGCACTGAAGACCAGAAGCTCCTGCGTGGATGCTGGGGACACCAGGAACTCAAATTGCATATGGATTCCCAACAGGCTATACCAAGGGAGAACCTACATGTCCCACCAACATTACCTGGGGTCACACGTACTCAGCACCGCTTGGGATTGGGCCCAAACCTAATCTAGTGACCCACACGTGCAAGGGTGGAGCATAAACAAGGAACCATCACACAACAGACAGCTATTACCTGCTTGAAACCAGAGATCTAAGGAGAGGGTGCTGTACAGCCCCTCAGGCAACAGGGATAGAACATTAGAGTGAACCTGTTTGAAAGGTTCCAGGGGGAAGAATCCTCCACATCTATGCTCTTAAATTGCAGTTAACTGTAACTACCAAGAGCTAATATTTTTAATTGTGTCTAATTTGCATTTGCAAAGGAAGAGAATGTGCAAAACCCACAACTATACACGATCTTGCAACTTACACAGAACGTTGCAAACCATAAGCAGTGCCGGACACATTGCACGTGCAAGTCACAAGCTCTGGATAACCCTAGCAACGTTTACATGCACCATGCACATTGCTTTGAAACATCACTGCCTGAGCTGGTCAACAGAGCATTGTGTCACTGCAGAGAGCCTCCTGTGTGTCACTTTTGCAGGAACTTATTGGCATCCACCCTCAGCAGCAGCTGCACTTTGAGATTTCTTTCCCATAATGCTTCCTCCCCAGTGCAATCTTTCCGATACACCCACATACCAAAATGAAACCAGACTGGAATTTTCCAGTGTCAGCTCAACTAGGCTAAACGCTGATTCGAGGAATCAGGGAGCCATTCAGGGACTGTAGTCATCAAGATGCAGAAGCCACATTACAGAAGTTGTAGCCTACAGTTAGATCTGCATTACTCCTTGATTAGCAAATCACATTTTGATACAAGGAATGCACACTTGGGCCAGGTTCACTCTTCCCGTTTAGAGAAAATAACGTGAAATAACCTGACGCTGCGTCAAGACCTCTCTGACCTAACGATGGCTTTGTCTGTAATGAAACACTAACACATTTTCTCTTATCCCCATTCCTTGTTTTGCCCATTTGGGGCCAAATGCTGCACCAAAATGGGTGCCTAGGTTCTAACCCAGGCATTTGATTGCAGTGCTCATATCAGAACAGGATTTGTTGCAATAGCCAGTGGCCCAGAGTGGCTGCCAGCCACCTACAAATCCAGGAGTGTTTCCCTTGTTTGGGGGAAAACTGCATCATTCCTGACAGCAGCAGCTCTGTAGAGCCTGGGATATATCTAGCTCCCCCTCTCGTAGTGGGCTAAATTCTACAAGTCTTACTCTGTTCCCACACAGGCAAAACTCTCACTGACTTCAACGCATAGATACTACAGTGATCGACACTAGGTAAAGCTAGTGGGATTGACTTCAGCAGCCTGCCTGACCCATCCCTAAACATTCTGCTACCCCAGTACACAGACTGCTCTGCCCACTAGTGGGGCCAGTCCCAGTTCCCAGCCAGGTAAGAGAAGTAGAAATGCATTGCCCAGTCGATACACACCCCACTCTTCCCACTAGATGAAAACTGGATCCAGATTTCCATAATTACCAGTCGTTCTGTGTCACATGGACCAACGTGGCCCTGCACATCAAGTGTTTCCTCTTCTCACAGGCTCTCCTCTCCTTCTCTCACTGGCTCAGCATGGCAATGATCTTTGTGCCCAATCTCCCAGCAAACCCAGCGGCATGGCAGCCTCCCTAAATAGTCCGTCTGCAACACAGATGACTCGAAGTAAAAAGAAGAAGGGGGAAACCAGTGGGTAACAGCATTTATCTGAGAAAAGAAAAAAAGAGGAAGCCACAAGGGGAAAAAAAAAAAACAGTGGCTGGAAGTACCTCACATCCCCACTGACTTGCTGAATAACTTAGTCTCGTTGCGCCTCAATTTCCCCATCTGTACCACGCAATACCTCTGAGAAGCAGTTGAGGCTTCTTTATTTAGTGGTTATAAGGTTCCACTGATGAGAAGTATTACAGGAATTCACTGGCACTATCTAGAATGTACAATCTCTTCAGTAAGAAACTTGCATTAACAGCCATGTGGGAAAACGACAGCTTCTGAAGTAGGTTCTCCTCTTTCTAGGTCCAACATTATATGACAGGGATCTTCAGGGATGGGAGGGTTGAGATAATAAACAGAACTAATGCTTTCATTTAAAAAATCAACAACCGCCCCACACAACTGGAGTTATAACAGCCTTTCAGCTTAAGCCTTGATACCTTTAACGGCAGCCTTATCAACACACCAACACCTTTGTGCCGGAATGCAGATAGAATTCTTGTCCCTTTTTTGGTGTAGAACCATAGCAGGTGTGCCTGCGATTGATGGGATAGACCATTATGACACTTTCCCAAATGGAGCCTCAAGTTTTGGGTGTCCATTGACTTTAAAGGTAATTGTGGGTACTCGGCCCTTCAAAAAAGAGTCAAGCCCTAGGTGTCTCAAGTGGACAAAGCAAGGAATAGAACCCAGGAGTCCTGGCTCCTAGGCCCCAGCTCTAAGCACATGATGGGAGGGGCAGTCCAGCAATAGTTGGAGGATTTTAAGCATGCACACAAATCATTTTGACTGCTCCTTTACAGAACTATTTTTGTTGTTCTTCCCACACAACTCGAGACTTGTAACAGTGATGACAATTCAACAGCCACCTGATTTTAAAGAGTCCAGAGGATTCACGTAACTCGATACTCTTGCAGTTAATGCAGCGTCACACAGCTTTGGATCAGCACCTCTCCCTGCTTTTGTTCTACAGGCTAAAGTCCTGAACAGCCTCATGCAGGGCTGTCAGAACCTCCCCCCAGCCCCGGTACCTCAGCGCAAACCCTCTGGGTGGAGAAAAACTGGTTGGAGCTTCTGTAACCCTGTGCTTCCTGCTGCGTACAAACTGCACGCGTAGCATATGCCTTCTAAGATATGCTTGTGAAGACTTAGTGTGAGGCTGATCTGAAAACAATGTGCTGTCAGACTACCCACATTGTGGGGCCTTCATCATGACAGTACTTCAGTGCCATCTTACAGCATAAAAACCTGCCTCTATTTCTATGTTTTCTTGACAAATAATGGCAAGAGGTTGCTCAGGAGCATCGGGGCTGCAGGTGTCAGCTGGCAGTGATTTTGTTTTTTGTTTTTTTTGAAGGAAATGGTATCGAAGTGATTGCGGCGGAAGATATATACATTCTAATTTGTTACAACCACTGAAGGGAGAGGCTCATCTTCAGACAAGCCAGGGCTGCACTAGTTTCAGATGACCTCACTTGGTTCCTAGGTGAAAGTTTGCTTATTGATCATTTCTTCAGCTGTGTAATAGACACAGATGGGTAAAGGACTCACTAGCATGACTGATGTCTAGGGCTGAGCTGTAGCTTAAGCAAGTTCTCTTCATTTAATAACTAAGTTTCTGGCTCTTTCTATAAAATGGTTTTGGGAACTCCACTCTTGCGTCCTCCAATCTCTATTACAACAGAATCCAGGTATTGGGCATATTTGTAGCACAGTAGGGGAGGGGGGTTACTTTTAAAGCCAAACCACTGGAGAGACCTCCCTGAAGCAGCCCCCTTTTGGTGCCAGAAAACAGGATGGAACCTGTGCACACTATGCATTTACCGTCTCTGCAATGGAGCCTGAGGACATCTTCCAGAATCAGTCCAATTCTCCCACCCCACCATCTGGTGGAGTACCACGTAGACCAAAGGCGTGTCCTTGAATTATAGGGATGCTCCAGAGTATGGTCCCTATTTCTATTCTCTCCCAATGCTCCATACCTTAGTCCTAGCTTGCTGTCCACATCCCACATACAACCCTCCAAGTCAACAATGACATTCCAATTAACCCATTAAGTAGGAGGCATTACGATTCGACCCCATCACCGGAGATTAGCCAAGCTGCCACTGTGCAGCACCTCATCTCAATCAACCCAGCAGGTGTCATTACCTAAGCGGCATTCACAAAGGCACATTCACTTCAGGGCATAAGGTGCTATGCCCCACTTAAGCCTCATGTTAACAGCTGTGTGTTAAGTGGTACACAGGGTTTCATGGCAAAGCTTTTGCTCTGGGGTGAATTTCATGCAGGAGGGTGGCTTGCACACGCTTTGAGAGGGGGACAACTCACCCGCAATTCCCTTCTCGGGGCATGATACGGGTTTAACATTTGAATAGCACCTTGGCCTACTGGGACTTAGCGACCCTGGAAAGCACCACACCCACGTAGGGTGGGACAAAGCATTGCCAGCACGGCCATGCTTCATAGCATAGCTACACCCTGAAATCGCTGCCGTGCTCCTGAGAAATTAGAGCCACGCTGCAGCGTTTGCCCTTTCCCAGCATCTTTCATCCATGGAACTCCGACTTTACCAGCTTTAATTCATTTAACCTCAGCACTCCCTGGGGGCAGAAATCCCTGATTTGCTAATGGAGGAACTAGAGACAGAGCGACATGCCCAAGGTTGCACTGCAATCTGCGGCAGAGACAGGAAGGGGATCCTGTCTGACAAAGTCCTGTGTCTTAACCACAAGCTCAGCTGATTCCCACTCCCTCCTTGGTTCTATGTGAGGAAACAAACATCACCTTTCTCGTTGTCAAAGACCAAACAGTTACGAGAAAGCATATTCAAATGAAACCTTTCCTGTTTGCGTGGCCAGAAAGAACATGCCTAAATCTTTTTAAATGAGAAAAATATAACGTTTATATTTAATCCAACAGTCAGAATCACTGAGGTACAAAATAAATCCACTGATCGTTCAGCAGTGTTGTCGCCTCAGAACCAGTTAATTGTCAACCACAACCATTGCCACAGCATTAAAAAACATAGACCGAGACTCATGTTCTGAACTGGGGGACAGACATTTATATAAATAGGCTCCAACACAAAAAACATAAACAAGCATTCATTTTTAACGCCTGTCTCCAATAGTCTTCTCCCACCTTTGTCCGTGCTGCTGCCAGATTGTAAGCGTGTTAGAACAGAATCAGTCTGTGTCAAAGTGGGTGGGAGGGGAAGAAAAAAAAAAAGAGAGAGAGACTTCCGTCTCTAACTTTCCCAATTAGTGGTTTTAAACGAGAACTGTAGTAATATACAGACTTGGGAAAAACAGTGCAACCATTTTCCTCTCTTCCCCAGGACTGCGGAGTCAGTTTATTTGAAGTGTCACTGGTTGGTAGTGCAAGGAACAGCTGCTATTGCCACGTCTGAAAGCAAGCTTCATTCAGAGACTCCTGTAATAAGGACACATTCACCTCTCATTAGTCACAGGACAGTTTCTGAAGCCATTTAAGAAAAGAATCAAAAAGAAATGAGAACAACTCCATGAACTGAGGAGGGATCAAGACAAAAAAAATCTTTGCACTTATTCGGTACCTGTCAACCAAAAGTTGGTGGTGTTTTTTACGATGATCAGACCACAGCACACCTGTGCAGTATGGTGTTAGCCCTGTGAATACAGGCAGGGAAACCGCTTGCCCTGCAGTGTCTCTATGGTAGACACACAAAAAGAATCCGACTCCCCAGATCCTCTGAGAGCTAAACAACACTCCTTTTGCCCTGTAGTGGCTTGTGGGTGATCTTACTCATGTTAGAAACACTGCCTGCTGGAGCCCATCTTCTGCACTCTATTTAAAAATCCACCAGTCTGGCCACTGAGAATTTAAAAATAAACAGCTGCCATTGCTAGTGTAGGACCTACAGTATCTTTGCTCCACTGTTGCAGAGCCGGCCAGACATCAGACAAAGCAGCCAAAGTGAACTCCCACCACCAGAACTCTGCTAAGGCCATCAGCAAGGGGCACACAGCAGCCGGGGTATAGAGAAGACACTGGGACAATGTTTAGGCTCTGCAGCAGGAGTCAATAGCTTTAAAGGCATCCTTCAAACATTCCTCTCCCCAAGAGCTCACTCCTCCTCACCTGAACAGTCATCCTTTTTTTGTTGTTAAACTTGTCTTATCTTAGCAACCAATCGTGCAAAACTATCAGTTGCAGTGCATTATCACCAATTCTTACCACGGACTGCAAGGACTCTGGGCTGTTGAGTCCATATGACAGTGAGTGGGCCTTTGTCTCTAAAGCACTGTATAAATGTAGCATGTCTTATAATTACGGTCTTTACAGATCACGGCTAAACAAGTGACTTCAGACCTGCATGCCCACAGGGAAGGCAAGACAGGCCTGTTTCAAACCACTGCTGTAGGCCTTGCGTCATGATTCCCAGGCTATTTCTAAGGTGTGCCTCACAAAAAAAGTCTCTCTCCAGGTCTCTCTCCTCAAGCTAGAAATAACAGCTTCATAGCGGAGTTACTAACATTTCTCCCCATGCTTCTCTCACGTCTGCCTCCTCCTCTTCCTGAAGCGAGCACTTCTCCTGGTTCGCAGAACTCTGGCCTCACCCACGTCAGCGCAGGAGCCTGAGACGGACTGCACAGCGGACACTTCAGCTCCAGCACTCTGCAAAATAACCAGTGACAGGGCATGACTGCAGGCGGAAGATACTTGGGACCGCAGGAAAGACCAGAACCCCCTCACCCCCCCCAAATCATTCAGGGATTCTGGCAAGGCTGAGAAGGAATGGAACGAAAATAGCACTCCCTTTATTCCCAGATCATTAAAAGCACAAAGCGATGCCTGTTCCCCTCGATCACACA